AAAGGGGGGGGGGAAAAAAAAAAGAAGAAGAATCAAAAAGTATGGGTTTTTTTTTTCAACTTCCAAAATCTAGATAATTGCCCTTCACCCCTACAATTTTGCGTTCAAAAATTGAACTCATTGTTAACATCATGAATTTAAAAATTTGAAAGAGATAAAAAGATTTGGTAAAATCTTTAATATGATGCCTAATTTATTAATATATGAAAATAAATACTCAGCTCATTTATAAAACATATAAATAACTTATTAACCAACCAAAAATACATCTTGCAGAAGAAAGGAGTGAAGAGCTTTAACTGTGATTAATCCTCGAATTAAATAGATAGTCTCTCTAATAATAGGATCACGAATGCCCGGTGGTTTATTACCAAAAAAAAAAAAAAAAAAATCTACCACTACATATAATCTCTAGCGCAAACATGAACAATGAAGTGCTTTAACTTAATTAAGATTTTAAAAACTTAATTCCCACAATATTTTTTCTAAATTGAGAATTCAAAATCCTATTGAAGATTCAGATGTTTGAAGATTCAAAGGTTATAAATCAACATATATATATATAACACGTGGAGAAAAATGGATAGAAAATATAATTTCACTTTATAAAAAAATTATCAATAGTAAGGTGTAATCTCGATCGGATATATTTAAAAAAAATTTTTTTAAAAAATATATCTTATTATTTTGGAAATCACGTCTCTCTGTAAATACAAACTGAAATATATATATATATATATATATATATATATATTATACAACACGTACTAAGCTATCCTAAAATTAAGGAGATGAAAAAGGTTGTTTATTAAAAAAATTAAAAGTTAATTAATTAAATTAATGGTGCTGCCAACCTGCTATCAACACAAATGAATAATCTGAATTAATAAGATTAACTTTTTGTATTATGGATAGCCTAATCATCCGACAAGAACTTATTATATAAATATATATATATAGGACACATTGAATCTTAATCTTCTTCTAAACCAAAAATTATATTTATTGCTTGTAATTTTTTCAATGTCTGCAATTGTGTCACATTATTCATTTAATTGATAATAAGAAGATTTTTTTAATTTCTTTTACCCCGCAACTGTAATTTAATTAGTGGAAAAAAAAATATATATGAGAAAGAATATCAGTAGAAAATGAAATTACTTACTACTCAAAAAAAAAATTATTGTATGAATTGACCTCTAAAAAAAATGTGCTAATTAAATTAACTATTTCCTGATTAGTTAAAATAATTTTTTTTATTACCAAAATAAAAAAAAAAGTCAAAAGAATAAGAGGGCATGAAGAAATATAATGAATAAATAAATAAATGGGAAGAATAATTAAAATGTTATCCAATTCACATAAATTTGAAAAATCAAACGGCAATGTGTTGACCTCGAAAAATGGATTTCAAACTCCAATTTGTGGTTGTAAACAAATAAATATATAGAGACAAACCGTGTTCCCATTTTATCTCTTGTTTCATTTTCTTGTTGTGTATGGAAATTTTTTTTTTTGTTTTATAAACATTTAGTTGTCTAAAAAGGACTATCTCAAAGCAACATTGGGACAAATCAATTGAACCGATGATTCATTTCTAAACAATCTTATCATTTTTTTTCTCTCTCTCCTCAAAAATGAATAGTATTTGTAGTTAGTGTTCGGATAAAATGAGTTTGAGTCGATTCTGAACATAATTAAAATGTATTTAACTCTAGCTGGATTCAATTATAATTTTTAAGTTAAGTTTCTTTTTTTTCCAATAATTTTCCAATTTTTAAACCTCTAAATTGAAATCGAGTTTGAGTAAAATAGACTCGAGATTGATTTAAATTTAAACTTCTGAAATAAACTTTTCTTGACTGAAAGAGTTTCAAGCAAAGATTTAGCTCATGTATAATAAACAACGATTTTAAATAGTTTCAAGCAAGATTTAGCTCATGTAATAATAACAACGATTTTTAATCTTTGCAAGTAAAGTTCACCGTAGCGACCTTTTAAATATAATTTTAGTAAAAAAGAAAAAAAAAAGAAAAACCTATCAAAAATTAAAGAAAGACTTTTCATTTTTTTCAGCCGTAAGAAAAAGTGGTTAATGATTACCATAAGTATGAAAAAATGAAAGGAAAAGACCCATTTCTATATATATATATATGGAGAAATTTTCAAAAGTTAAGGAAATAAAGATTTATTTAAGAAGGGCATTGGATCCGGTGCATAATCCTCAATTACTCTATTATTAATTTCCCTTTGTTTTTGAGCATCTCTACATGTGTTTTTTCAAAATGTTAAATTTGTTTTATTAAGTTTTAATAATATTACTTTTGAATGCATTGAATGGATATTTTAAAATTCAATTTTTAAAAAAAATTGTATACATTTGAATTCAACTGCTAATCTTCATTTGAAAATGTATTATAAACCAAAAAGAAACCCTAATTGCCAATAAAATAGACTAAATTACAATTAAATTTTATTTAAATAATTAATAAAAGAAAATGACCAAAATTAATTTCTAATGAGTAATTTACCATAAAAATGCAGAACCTAATTTACACCTATTTCTTTCTGTGAAACCAATTCTAATTTCCCTAAAAATTTCAAAAAAAAAAAAAAAAAAAAGGCGAAATGTATAAATATAATATATTCTAAAATCGGACAAAAAAGCAGTATCAAAATATAATTTCCTAAGACTTGGGTTTTCCCAACTTCTTTTAAACACTTATCCATCTTGCATAGATTTTGCACATCTGTCCCCATTGATCCCACCACCACTACCACCAACTCCTCCTTCTCCTCGCCTCCATCACCACCACCACCAATTCTTTTTATGATGCCCATCTTAATCAAAAAGGTCCTCACCCCAATCCCTAAATGCAAAACAATGTTAAGTCCCAATTCCACCATCAACCCATATGCAAATAGGAATAAGGTCAAAGGCCATCAAATCAATGTCAACAAAAGCTGGTAATAGCTTGCCTCATATCATTCCACTATATCCACCAACTGCCTCATCAATAAGCACACCCACCAAGATCAACGGCGGCCCGCCAACAGCCCAAGCGGTATCGGAAGCTAATAAGGGAGTCAAGAAAAAACGCCAAAAAGAAATACCCTGCAACTGTCAACGGCCGTTAAACCTGTTCTTTCCGCCTTCGCGAATACCCGTCGAGGAATTCTATGTAAGCCGTCACGGGTGATGTGCCAAGAAGCGACCCCACCAACGATTGACGTAAGCATCTGACATGAATGCAAAATATTGACTTCAAAATCCACCAATTCTCATCCAAAAATCCAGCAAATTCTGGCCCAATTGAAATATAATGTACCGCGTGGTGTCCAAAATGTCAACAATATAAAACGTGACCAAAAGCCTCCCAAAAATACCTTTCCCCATACTCCTAAAATGCTAAAGCTCCAGCTGTACTTTTAATTGGGCATGTAACATCAAACAACTTCTTTAAAATAACTCATGAGCTTGAATTCCCTGCCCGGCGTGTCAGGAAATGCCGTTAAACACTCGTGGTTCAACGGAACCATGAAATTGGCCGTCAACAAAAACCAATTCAGGTAAATAATGCCCCCTTTAATTATTTTTTCACCAAACAATAGCAATTATTGACAAAATCCAACCACTCCAAGCCATAAACGTTGGCGATCTCATGCGGTCTCGTAGACAAGAAATATCCCCGCGAAACGGTGCCAGCCTGGGATCAAAGCAACAGTCCCGTTAGCTAAACGTCGTTACCCGGTGCTAACGTCGCACGCGATGATCTTGGGCATCCGCCAAGTGTTTACTACGTCGAAAGAACTGTAACCCAACTAACCCGATTCCTTGGTTGTTTTGTAATCCGAATGAATGCAAGGAAAAGCCGATTCCGGCGGAAGAAACTGAATCCGGACCGGTTTTTGGAAACGGAGTTTTGCCCAATTGTTTGCTCGTAATCCGATTGCCAGATATGGCTAGAAAAGATTAAACCTTCCATGAAAAGCAGCCGTTAATGCACTCTTCGTACGAAAACATTACCCGAACCACGTGATACCCCGACGACGGTATAAGCAAAAAACCATTGGGTAACCCATACCCGGAGCCAAAGCCTAGAGGAAATTAAGCAAAGCGCCCATTATCACACATCCCCAATAAGCGAAGATGCTATGCAGTGGCTACTATCAGGTCTTACGTACTCTCTTTAAACAAGCAGGCGTAACCCCGGATTAACCGGGCCCAAATTTGGCAAAGAATTGTCGCGGTTTGATGGATTCGGAGAGATGACCCAGTGCAGTTTAAGAAAGTGGGACAGTGGGTCGGAGCTAGAGAGGGACACAGTCGGAAACGGAAGCAAGTTTTTTTGGGCACCGCTGTCGGTGAGGATCAGAGGCGGTTGACGGCGAGAATATAAGCCAATGGTGAGAAAACAGTGGCGGTGCCAGCAACGTAATTCGGTGTGAAAGTTGAGTTTCAGCCGTTGAGTTTAAATCGCTTAGCCAGTCGAGTTTTGGCTACGTAGTTTGTTTAGCCTTGTTAAAGGCTTTTCCTTTGAGAGAAGATCCAGCCTCCATGTCCATAGCCATGTTAAAGACTGAAACTTTATAATTTCTTTCATTATGGTGGCTTGAGGGTTTGTTGTCTCTCTCTGTATTATATCTGTGGTGCGTATATAATCCAGAAAGAGAGAATGGGTAAAAGATGATTTGAGGGAAGGGAAAGAGGATAGGATTCTAGTGGAGGATGGGAATCTGATTTTTTTAATTAATATAAGGAAAAGTATCTGAGAGTTTGTGGGTAGGGGTTATTAATTATAAATGAATCTTTTTACTTTTTATTTTTTTCCTTCAAATTCATAAAATTTTATTTCTAACTTTATAGCTAGCCTTTTTTTTTTTTTTTTTTTTTTTTTTACAATTAACCGTTAAATCTTTTTAACTAATTTAAATACACTTATAATTTTTTAACTCCCTCCATCCTAAAATATATATAATGATTTGATAAATAATAATAATATAAATATAATAGTAATATCTTTAGTTTTGTTATAATAGAATAATTAAATAGCTTTTTAATCTCCGTGGAAACATAACAAATTTATTATTTGACGGAGGAAGTAATTTGTAAAACTTTATTTGTTGAAACACAAGTTTATAAAATTTTTGAAATTAATAAACTAAAATGTTGAATATAACTTTATAAACATAAATTATTAATCAATAATTTTCATAATTTTTTAATTATTTAATGAGTATTTTAATAAGTTAATTTTACAGATTAAAAAAATATTTTATAGATATAATTTTTAGTATTTAAAATATTTTAAATAGTCGAGCTTAAAAAGTTGAAAGGAAATCAAATAATTTTCTTATAAAATTACTAAATTGTTTTATGAATTTAGCTTTTTATTTTTCTTTTCCTTAAAAAAAGGTTTTTTGAGAAGTGAACAATGAAGAAGAGGTTTTAGAAAAAAATTGACAAATTCTAAAACCCTAATTTGCTATTAATTCTCTACACAAAACGTAAGATAACTTCCTTTTCTTTTGACAGCCCATTTTCTTTTGTGGTCACCACGTTGATTGGCCTTACCAAAAAATTTTGGGGGAAGAGTCTTGGAATTTAAACGGAAGGATAGTTACTTATTGAATTATATATATATCTTAAAAAAAAAAGAAATATAAATTGGAATTGTTAATTTTAATTGAAAGCTTAAATTTTACAAAATCAAATTTAGAAATTTCATTTTGGCTACAAACTTCTGTTTTTTAGTTTACAAGATTATTTTCAGATTTGGACCGAGATGAATACATTCAGTATAAAGTTGTTGACTTTAGAGGTAAAATTCATTTTGATTTACGTATTACCTAAAACCACACAGTATAATAATAAAAGAAAAATAGAAAAAATGTTTGGAATAGAGTTTTAAATTAGTTAAAAAAACGTGAATCATGAAGAATATGTGTTGTCTTTTTGGGTATATGAAAGTTGTGAAAAAAAATGTAGTAGTTGCATAGTGGGGACTTAATCCCGCAACTTGCTTCTTTGTAGTTGGGGCCAAATTTGTGGGCATTAAGAGACCAATTGACAAATCAAAAAGTATAATACCATTCGTTGACTTCCCACGTAAGAAGTTAACAATTACGGGACATTTGGTACACACACCATTGTTGCATTTCTTTCCTTTATTAGATCATACAGTTTGCTGTACAAAATACAAACCACATTCCTTCTTAAATCATTATTTAATATTATATTTTAAAGTCAAATGCGATCATATTACCACATTAATACATTGACTCACCAATTAAAATTCTGATAGCTCCACGATCAAGATAGAGCCAATCCCCTAGAACCAGGCATTAGAGCTTCAGAAGCTCGCAATACAAGAATCCAGCGGAAGCCCTCACCCAAATGATCGCAATTTAAATATGGAAAAAAAGAAAAAGAATATCTGTTGTGTGCTTATAAATAATATTGAAGGCCTCCCAAGCATATGTAGCTAGCAAGCAGTCTTTCAGGCTAAAATTAGAAATGAACCTTATTTTAAGGAATCCGATGATTCCAGGTGAGCTGTGAGTAAAATCCAGCTGACATTGTGGCAATATTTTGTGGGTCAAACACTTAATTTCCCTAATTTTCAAATCTTTTTTTACCTTTTACCTACTCACATGATAAAATCATTAACATTTAGCACCCTAATTCTCACTAAGCCTTATATACCAGTGGAGTCCCATTTTGTTGTATTTTTTTTTTTTTTTTTTTTAGTATTTAATTTGAATTTATCTTAAAAATATATGTATTTATTTTCAATGTTATATGCGTGATTCTATTTGTATTATTGAAAACTTTATTTTTAATAGTATGTGTTTCCCCTCTTTTTTCAAAAAGAAAAAAGGAAAAACGTTAAAATCGCTGAACAAAATTTTGAATTATAGAACCCACCTAATGTCATGCAATATATCATAAGATCATTTTAAATGGAGGGTGGAGCCACGTGAATATATACGTTTCAACTGGGAATCACAAATCATGAATCGAAAGTCATTTTAGAGACTCGCTAAAGCACAAAGCCATGATCATATTAAGAAAATGAATTTCTATTAAAAAAGCGTATAACTGCATGGAATATGGTTATACAATCCATTAATTTGGAATTTTTGCCTAGGAGATAATGAGAAGAATTAAGATGTAATAATATTGATTTCATACATATATATGGAAATACAACAAAAGATTCATATGGACTTCTCATCGGAATCTCATTTATTTCATACACATCAACCTTATTTTCCAATCTTGTTTTCGTAAAAATTTTCCTTTTCAATAATGTAAAGTCGGCTGTAAAATCTCTTAATCATATTGAGAATTTGTATGCCTATAAAATATTGAACTCACATAGATAATTAAACATCCAACGAACATGCATGTCCATCATATACAACTCAATACATATAATTTTTTATTAAATAATATAATGGTATATGGGTATCCAAACCTAACCACAGCATGTGCAACCCCATGCCATGCATGCCATTTCAACATCATCCACGAGACTATGGTGGTCCCCCTGATTGGCAGAACATTGTACTTGATAATATTGAATGCTCATCTGCTTGCAGAGATAAGATAAGCTGATGAGGTCCATATATAAATTACCTCTGAATTATTTTCTGATTTTCTGCCTATTGCAAGACATGCATTAATAATTTTTGGGGTCCTCGTCCTCGGAAAGTAAGGGAATAGCCCTACGGTGGGGTATGTATATTACTATTTAAAAGTTCTTAAAGCCAAAAACAAAAAAACAAACTTTGTTTGCAACAAAAACAGCCTAAACGTGTTAATTCATGCCTCATAGTTATTCCAATTTCATACAAAGTTGTCATTCCAAGTATTCATTTTTCCCTAAACTACTCTTAACCTTATTATGATTTCCTGGAAGTAACAGGATCAAATTGAACAATTTTACCTATAAAAGCATACCTTTTTCCCACAAAGACACAAATGTCCAACTTTTTTACTTTTATTTTTAGTTTGATAGACAATGACCAACTTTTTGCACGAGTCCAATTTTTTTTTTTTAAAAAAAAAAAAAGAAAAAGAAACTTTTTTATAACAGGAGGTAGAATAAACATCTACTTTCATGAATTATAATAGTGCCCTTATTTTTCTTTCTTGCTTGGGTAGAAAAATATACCTATCCACTCCATTTATGTCACACATTGAATTCAAAGAGAAAAATGCTAATGACATATTTATTTGACGAAAATTCAATTTACATAACAGTGTTAAAATTTAATTTCCACTATCTCAAAATCCTCAACTAACAATTAATGAAATTTCAACTCTTAATCATGCAATTAGTAACTTAATTAACAATTTCATTTTCTTGAAAAGTTTTTTAAAATAATTGTGATAGAAAGATATTTCTTGATAATTAATCATGGAAATAGAAGAATTAATAGATAATATGCATGTTCGTAATTTAGATGTTTTGATAGATGTTAAGCGTTTAACCCGTTTAAGTAGCTAATAGCTATTTGATTACTTTTTCATAAACACTAAAAAGCAAAACATTTAATCCCTTTTGTAACCTAAATTTATAAAATTTAGTTCAAATGTATGTTTCCAACACTGTAAAAATATTTTCGAAATCAGAAAAAAAAAAAAAAAAAAAAAAAAAAAAAAAAAAAAAAAAAAAAAAAAGCTAATTGCACACAATCATGATGATAAAGGATATTACATCAAGAGCATCACGTAACCACTCAATTTGGGATTTTTATGTTAGGTGATATCAAGTTTTCTTTGAGTCATGATCATGACCACCATGAAGGAATAAATCACAATTGGATTCTGCGTAAAGCTATTATTTAATTTCTTAATTAAAAAAATTAAGTGGCAACAACGCCTTAACATGCAAGGAAGTTAGCTCCCACACACATATATATGCAAATTTAAAAAAAAAAAAAAAGAAAGAAAAAGAAAAATCACAATCACAATCTCTATATAGATAGAGCTATTTTCCACTTTCCAAGAACTTGGTTTTTCTATATAGTAAGTGACCATCTCTTTCAATCTTGATAGGGATTCATTTGAGAAATTGGAGGCAGAAAGAACAAGTGGTTAATTAAAATACACCATGCATGCTTCGTTGGTCCCAATTTTTGCCCACTTGTATCATAATGATTTATATGCTTTATTACATATTTAATGATAAATCAAACTTAATCCGCTCTTCGAATAACTTTTCATGAAACGCTAAAAGCTAAATGTTACATGAGTTAACTTTTAATAAAATGCTACTCTAACCTCTAAAAATTAGTTCAAAAACTATATTATTGAATAACTTTTTAAATAACGTTTAGCGTTAAAGTTATTTATGAAACGCTAAAAGCTAAATGTTACATGAGTTAACTTTTAACAAAATGCTACTCTAATCTCTAAAAATTAGTTAAAAACTATATTATTGAATAACTTTTTAAATAACGTTTAGCGTTAAAGTTATTTAAGAAGCTCTCGGCTAACACACCCATCATATTTCTTTAGTTTTTTTTTTAAAATTATTTTTTCTTATTCCTTAATGATAAGAGTCTTTTACTGAATTCCATCTTGCTTTAGACAAAAAGGAAAAGAAATCCAGTTCAAATGATGACACAATAAGATAAAACAAGCCATAATTTGAGGTTTTTGGCCCACAAATTTCAATTTTTGAGACTTGAATGGTCCAGAAGCAGAGACAGATCTTTTTTCCTCCACTCCATATAGAAATGTTGTAAATTCTTATTTTCTTGACAAAGGGAAAAGGGTTATGTATTTTTTTTTTTTTTTATTCATTTTTGTCACTTTTCTTTTTGTTAGTGAAAGGTGATGTGAGGTGAAAGTACTGAGTCTATTCATTCAAGATGTTTCATATCTATCTTTCTCATATTTCTCATTTGCTGGTTTAGGGCATCAAAAAGATCCCACCTTTCCTTTCCTTTTCTTTTCCCCTACTAGATATTGCAGTTTTTGCTATGATCCTTCACCACTACTTAGCCTCACACAAGTGCATGACACGTATCATGTGAATTTTCATCTCTCTTTTCTATAACCTTCCCTTTCATTGATAAAGAATTGCCTTATTGGAGATGCAATATAGTTAGAGACCTAAAATTATCCTCTTAAATTCATGTAATTTCAATTATTAAATCGACTGAAAAGTCTTATTAAGGTTTTGAATTCAGAACATGCATCTATTTCCTTAATGTTTTTAACCATTTACATATCATAATTTTAATCATTAAGTCATAGATTCGAGCTACGGAAACAACTTCTTTATAGAAAAAGCAGAGAAAGACTGTGTACATCAACCTTTCTTATATCACATACTTGATCATTAAAGTCATGGGTTCGAGCTACGAAAACAATTTTTTTACAAAAAAGTAACAAAAAGCTGTTTTCGTCAACCTTTCTTGGATCACATATATATGGAATACTTCGTGCATTGAATTATCTTTTTTTTTTTTATTATAGAATTAATTGATAATAGTTTAAAATAAAGTTTTGTTAGAGGAAAAAAAGACATGACATGTTATTAGTTGAAAAAGTAAGCCAAAATAGCAATCATTGTGATTTGTGAATAAGGTGCATGAAACCTAAATCAAGAATCTATTGATTGCTGTAAAGGGCATCTAATTGAGGTATAGTATCAAGTTTTTAAGGGCAACAATTAGTGAAGGAAGGATTAGTACTCTCCAATATCACTGGTCAGAAGCTACAAGGCATGCAGGACCCTCAAGTTTATTCTAAGACAAGTGGCCAAATTTGATGGCTACAAGTTAAATTTTAGGGTATGTGGATTGGATGGAAAACCCATCAAAAAAAAAAAAAAAGGTATAGGATTTGGTAGTTCCAAAAATAAAAAATAAATAAAAGATGCACCACAATTCAATGCACATATATGAAGATTAGTCATGTCTATATACATAAAAAAAAAAAAAAGAAGGGAAAAAAGAAAAAAAATAACTTGTTTGAATGATGCTTTAGCAAAGTGGAAACACATATCTATGTTGGATTGGAGACAATTGAGGATGTGAGAGTTGCATTCACTTTCTATTTATCTTCTTTTTCCTATGAATGGGACAAGAAGAGAACAATTCTTTTGTGTTTATTATTCTATAGCTTAAAACATTTATAAGACATGTGGGCTCGTCATTGCTTGCTTTGTCCTAACATATATTTAATAGCTTGGTGGAAATAATATTCAATAATTATAAAAGATTTATTTGCCTATTTTATTGAATATTAAACAAAATTAAAGTACAATGAAAATCATGGGTAATTATAAAATTTTCCATTATAAATATCTTATCTTATAAATTAGATATATATTAAATAAGTTTTGTGGAAAGTGAATGCTACATTGATGAATAATGAAATAATTGAAGGATTTATAATTAAGTGGGTGATAGATATAATCCAAGCCAATTGATTTTGTGCATGTGGATTCCAATATTTTGTCATGCAAATTTTATTTTCCTTTTTATGTTTAACTTTTTTGCTAGTGAGAAATAGAAATTCCATGTAATGAACATAGCTTATGGTTTATATTTGAAACAAATGAATTTGAAAAATATGATTTTTGTTGAAAAATATTAATCTTCAATCAATTTCCAACTGGTCCTTCTTCTGGCATAATTTTTCACAAGAATTATGAAATGTGGGGCACCAAATTAAATAGCCATGGAAGAATTTAAAGGTAGTGATCGAGGTCAGACTTTCAAATTGTTAAAAGGAATTCGAAATGTTGAGAATGAATGAAGTGGAAAATGTTAATTGTTTCTCTTTATGTTGATGAGTTGCTAGTAAGAGGTGATGATGAAGACCAAATAAAGACATTCGAGATTGAAATTGAGAGGATCTTGAGAGAAATGAAGTATTTTTATTTTCTGGGTATGAAAATTCATCAAAGCTCTAACCTCCATTTTCAAGAAATGAACAGTTATTTTAAATCCATTATACTACTCTTAAATCATATATGGAACCTCCATTTTCAAGAAAGCAAAAAAAAGATTGAGGAAATCATGATCAATCTATTAAAATTGACATAAAGAAAAAGCAACCTCAACATTTTCAAATGCAAGAAAACCATAATTATTTAATTATACAATATATTTTAGCAAATGGTTAGAAGAACCACAACTAAAAAGCTATACAAAATCTTTGATAACAAGAATAATGAATAAAAGATTGGAAATTGATGGTTATGGTTGGCTCAAGAACACACAGTTAGATGTGAGTCTTACAAAAATGAACAGTTATTTATGTATACAAATTTACCAAATGTATTCTAATATTTCGAATAAAAGAATAGACCAGCTCATGAAGCCAAAAAAAGAAAGGTTTACTACGAAGATTGTGCTTGTTTTTCTTTCTGTTGTTGCTGCTGCTGATCCCCTTGCCATACCCAGACAATGTCCTTGAGAGCTGGCCTTAAACCCTCTTCTAATACTTGCTTATATTCCAGTGTATCGCCACTCGATTTCTTCATCTCTACCAAATGAAAAGATGGAGTAAACTCAAATATTTCTGCATCAATAGACAATGCTCCTTTTCTACCTTCTTCAGATCCCTCCAATTTCAATAACCCTCCATCCCTCTTCTTTACTTCCAGCCTCAGAGTCTTAGCTGTGTCTTCTAGTTTAGATACAATGGTTGAGGCAGAGTGCATAGAAGTGAATTTAGTTTCTTTCTCCTTGTAACTTTGAGTGAAAAAACCTGACAAGTCAAACCCATTTGAAAGAGAGATTATATCAAAAGCATTTAAACTTGTAGGTCTGCCCAACTCTTTCTTATCTTCAAGAAAACTTGTATTATTCTCATCAGGACCTAAACTTGCATCAGCCACAAAAGGTTCTAATTTCTTAACTTCATTATTGGTCTGAACTGCCTTGGAATTTAACCCTTTTTTAAACCAATGAGTTTCCTTTATTTTTGCAATGGAAATTCTAGTACTCGTGTTAGGATCGAGCATTTTCGCTATCAACTTGCGTGCTTCAGGTGAAAACCAGTTAGGGAACTTATATTCTGCCTTGCTTATTTTCTTGTACAACAAAATTAGATTTGCGTCATGAAATGGGAGATAACCAGCCAACAAAACATATAAGATTACTCCACAAGACCAAATGTCAGCTTTAGCTCCATTGTAGCCTTTTCTACTGATAACTTCAGGAGCAACATATGCTGGAGTTCCACAAGTCGTGTGGAGCAAACCATCTTGACAATTTGATTCAACAAGTGCACTCAATCCGAAATCCGATACTTTCAAAACTCCATTATCATCCAATAGTAAGTTTTCTGGTTTCAAATCCCTGTGATAGACACCTCTGCTATGACAAAAATCAACTGCACTAAGCAACTGTTGAAAATAGTTTCTTGCCACATCTTCCTTGAGCCTTCCTTTTGCCACCTTCTTAAAAAGCTCACCGCCTTTAGCATATTCTATGACAAAGTAAATCTTGGATTTTGAGGCCATAACCTCATAAAGCTGCAATACATTTGGATGTTTAACAAGTTGCATAATGGATATCTCTCTCTTGATCTGATTAATCAGCCCCACTTTCAGAATCTTCTCCTTATCAATGACCTTAATAGCAACACTTTGACCACTTTTAAGGTTCCTTCCATGGTAAACCTTAGCAAAGTTACCCTGGCCTAAGAATCTCCCGAAATCATATCTCTGCATCAACACATTCTCTTTTCGATCCATCGTAAATGAAACCAAATCCTCCTAATAGACTCTAGTAATGTGTGTTTTCTGGCTAGAATAGTATATACAATAAAAGGGAAATTAACAAATCTCTAAAATTCTAGAACTCAACCGTCTCACTGAGGTTGTACTCTAGCACAGCAGGAATTGTATTTATGATTCTCTTGTCCATTCGAACCTCGAGTGTAGACCTGTCATATGCTGAGTATCCAACCTCTTCTAGGTCGGCCAATGACAGCTGAAAAAATTGAAATCAAAATTCACAGACTCTGTAGAAAGAATTAACAGAATTCAAGCACATTTTCCAGCATGCTGTACTGTTTTTCTTTCACTGCTACACAAGGGAGATGAAACACCAAGCAGGCCAGCAAATAATAGAGAAGAATCTGGAAAGACATAATAATGATATCAATCTACCAGTTGTGCATTAAAGAAATGAAATATTAATACCAGGCTCATATTCAATAGGCTATTAGAATAAAGCCTGGTGCTTGAGTGTTATTCTTGTAATGCAAGAGGTCAAGCACTCGAACCTTTTTCAAGAAATCCTGATATACCATACAATAGCATGCCAAACCCAACAGCATGTTAATAACAGGCTATAACAGTTAGACAATAACTGAACCATTACTACATTTCAAGGCATGTTTCTGAAATGCATATATTCAGTGATGAATAAGGTAAGCTAGGCATTTATTTAATTGACAGGACATGATAATGATTTCTATTTAGCCAATAATGAATGCCTGAAATTTAAATGATAATATTCATAATAATAAAAAGAGCAGGAGAAATCAATGTTAAGACTTTTCTGTATTCCAATCTCTCTCTGCTGACCAAGTTTATGTACAGGCATATATTACACTAATTGATCAAATTAGTAATAATCAGAGGAAAATGAAAGTAATGATGTCTGTATTTCTGTACTATATACAATGATGCTTCATCAATTCAAAAGTTGAAAAATGCAATTAAATCAAATAAACTACAATGTTCAGATCTGCAATCACATTCTTGTAAAAAATGAACAAAAAACAAAAGGAGATTTGAAACCGCCCAGCTTCACAAAAAATGCGGATAGCAAAAGATTAATCCAAAATCAGTAATTTGGAAAACAAAACCAAACTCACATGTTTCCTTTGATTTTACTCACAAACTAAAGATCCAATTTCCAAGAAAGTGGCAAAAACATTCAACATGCGCATAAAATTCTCATACAAACATTAAGAAAACTAAATAACCAGACCAAGAAGCTCAAAAGATTCAAGAAAGAAAGGAAGGAGAAAGGAAGGTATGAAAGAAAAAGAATAACTCAGCATTACCTTGAAGGAAAGAAAGAACCGCAAGAAAATTGTATCGTAAAAGAGAGAGAGAGAAAGAAAGGGAGATACCAAAAAGAAAGGGAAACCAAACTAGACATGCCTATATATAATAAGGGCCTGGTCTTATTTTTGGCTATTATAATTTCTAATTAGCCTGTATATATATATATATATAGGAGATGACATCAAGTGATGCAAGGTGTAGGAGATCAATTTTCTTTCCATATGCACGTAGAAGACGATGCGAAAAGATGCAATTAGCCAGCTACCATCAAATCGAAGGTAACATGTCATTCTTAAGTTTAACACATTTTGCATTGTAAATTGAAGTTGTTTAAACTGGTTCAAAGTCTTTTCTTTTCTTTTCTTTTCTTTGAGACGGGTTCAAAGTTTAAAATCCTTAAGATGTTTAAAACCATCAGAAAAACAAACACCAACCTTAAAAATATTGCTTCAAATAATAAATCCCAACTAGACATGAGTTTTTTTTTATATATATTCATTTGAGCATGAAATATTTAGTAAAATCCTTTCAATAATGGTACTTTCAGATCTCGAATTAAATTTTAAACAACTGACGTTATAGTCTATTTTTACTAACTCAACGGCTTATTAGTACATGAGCTCTTCATTATTATAGTTAATATTTTTTTTTGAGTATTTATTATACTTAATAATTAGATGATGACATTCAATTATTTTTATTGTTATTATTCATCTATAAAATGCTTTTTTCTCTAAATGAGCTTTCAAATAATTCATCTTCCGGTATTCCTTTCAAAAAAAAAAATTCATCTTCCAAAAAAAAAAAGTAGGTGAATACTTCAGATTCTTTTGTCTTTTTCTTTGAAATGGAAAATAACATATTAAACAAATAAAAAGTGTTAGTTCAAAGAGATTTTCTATTAGGTATATAGTCCAATTAAATGAATTTCAAAAGATCATAACTTCAAATGTCAACAATTCTCTTCAATTCTTATTTTCACAGGCTAGAAAAATATATGTTAATATTAACAAAAATCAATGTGTTAAACATAGTAATATTCTTTATTATTACAGTTGCAAATTATCAATTTTATATAATACGGTCAACTTTTTTAAATTTAATTCTGGTAAGGTCTAATTATTTAATTTTCAGCACCTAGTTAACTGAAAATGCTAAGGTAAACAACTTGATTCTTAAGTCAAAAACATCATTGGATAATGGATGATCCAAATTAAAGAAAAAAGAATCGTCATTGGTCTCATATTAACCACAGAAAAGGATAATTATTGACCACAGAGACATGAGTGACATATGGTCTGTCAAGCATTTTGCACATGTAGTTGTCCAGATATGAGACATCCTAAGCCTCATGCATGCATTGGTCTTTTAAGACCGTAGATGAAATGGATTAATGCATAAATTTGTCTTTAAAATTTACACAATTTGCCTTGTAGTACCGTTAAATTTATAAGAAATATATCATGATCATATAATTATATTATTGAAATGTGAAAGTGTATAGTCATAATAAATTTCTCGCAAATTTAAAAATATCACAGGATAAATCACGTAAATTTCAGACACAAATTTATACATTTTGCGGTTTCTAGACCCACTTAAAATGGGTAGGGTTTCAAAGAACCGTAAAGTTCTTATCACGCTCTATTTTGGGAAATTCATATGGATCACCTTATTGTATTTTTATGCATGGCCCATGGTTCAAAGTTTGTGTACTAGCCAACCACTACTTAGCTGCATTTTGTCTAATTAGGACATTTAGGACACATGATTGTTTGGGCTCCTAAAGGAGGGGTCAAGCCCCTTGAGAAGGAAATTTTTTTTTTTAATGGTATAGCTTAATCTGAAAGCAAGAATCTAAAAGAAAGAAAAAAAAAAAAAACTGAAATATTTGTCATGGTCTAACTCTCAAGTTTGTTCAAGCCAGTTTATGCATGCAGAAGTTGATGAATGTCAAGGAACTGTATGAAATTCAATTGAAGAGCAATGGATTAGAGCATAAAGAGGAAAAAAGGCTAATGATAACATAAAAAATTATTTAGTAGAAAGATCAACAAAGCAACATCTACTTCTAGTATCTAATTCCTTTAGCAACCTCAAAAAAATGAGCAACATTCTCCTCTGGTGTGCCTACTACAATTCCATGACCAAGATTCAATATATGTTTCCCTTTACCGGCTTTTTTCACAACATCATTTATCCGAGTAGTGATAAACTCCTTTGAGCCAAAAAGGACACCAGGATCTACATTTCCTTGAACTGCCATATCAGGTCCCAATCGCCTCCTACCTTCAGCCATATCAACTGTCCAATCCAAGCTAACTACATCTACCCCTGTTAAAGCTAGCCTCTCAAGCAAACCTCCAGATCCACTAGCATAAAGGATTATCGGGAGATTTGGATGCGTCTTTTTAACAGCATCCACAATCTGCTTCAGGTATGGAAGACTGAACACTTCAAAATCGACAGGACTAAGCTCTGTAGCCCATGAGTCAAAGATCTGAACAGCTTGTGCCCCATTGTCAGCTTGATATTGAATGTACTTTGCCATGGAGGTTGCAAATTTCTGAAGCAATGCATGAAGAACCTGCAAGAGGGGTAAAAGAATCATGAATATTTGGTTTCATTATATGACCAACAATAAACATTAGCAGGTGAATGTCATATTCCAAGGAAACTATGCAAAAGTACCTCGGGCTGAGAGAAAGCCATTCTCTTTATTTTTGAGAAGTGCTTCGATGAACCGCCTTCAACAACATATGATGCCAGGGTGAAAGGAGCACCAACAAAACCAAGCACTGCAGCTTTATTATCTACCTGGAAAAAGAAAAGAATAAGCAGATGTGTGTTAACTTAGGATTTTATTGACTTCAGTAAACCTATAGAAATTTCATAAACAAATGGCCAGTTTCACTAGATTTCTCAAGAAGAACTCTCGATTTGTTAATGAAAGATAGTATCAACATGCTACATCTTTTGGATGTTGAGAAAAAGATATGCAAATAAAATTCATAAATTAAAATTACAACACGCATAAGCAACAAATGTTAATGGATGCATATAAACATGATGACTGAATTAAGCAGTCTGACAGAAACAGAAGACAGACTGGCCACATGCAAGGTTGTTTTGCTTTGGTTCTATGATTCCAAATCCAAGTTTTTCAAGGAACTACAGGTTTTGGTTTGATTTGATTCTACCATAAGTAAATTGCTCCTTCCTTTGAACTTTGGATGCATCAATTACAGTAAATAAACAATCCTTTATGATGCAGCTAATGACTGACTGGGATCTGGGAAGACTCAATCTATATAGAGAACCACTGAGCAAAATAATCAAAAGATAACTTGAAAAGTAGAAAGCTAACAAAACATGCTACATGGTACCTCTTTTCGCAGGATTGTCAATGATTCTCCAACATATGGAACTGACTCTTCAGGCACAAACTCTCTCACTCGATCAACATCAGCAGCAGTGCGTAAAGGATTGAATATAACAGGCCCCTTACCTTTTACAATGTCAAAAGGTATATTCATCCCAGAAAGTGGGGTAAGAATATCTGAGAATAAAATGACCTGGAAAAATGGTCAAGAAGGAAACTGAGAGGAGGCATCAGGCAAAATAACCCGGAAAGAAATAATTTGTGAAATTTATGCTGCCAATTTTCAGTTGTTGAAGATAGAACTACAAGTTGACAGCAACAAATTGTCAATAGATGGTTAATTAATATTATGTAACTGATTGTAAATTGGTCTTACCCCATCTGGCTTAAAGACATTCCAAGGCTGTAGAGAAATCTCCACTACAAGGTCAACATTTTCTGATCTTTCACGAAATGAAGGATACTTCTCACAAATGATTTGATAACTCTGTTCAAAAAAGGAGGAGATGAATAAGATACAAACTAATAAAATATAATACAGCCAAAATGGTCAGCAGACACATATGAGCTACCATCTTTGCTGAGAGATGATAAACTGAAGATAATAACAAGAGATTATGCAAATTTTCTGATAGATCTGGTATTATAAAGCATAATAACATGCTCTATGGTGATATTTTAAGGGAAAAATGATGCTTATAAGCCATGTTATATACGATTTCTGATCTAATAAAGCAAAATACCACAAATGCAGATGCATCTATTCCTGGTTTTTCAATAGCAATTCCATTCTTAGACAATCACATGATCCTCGTATTTAAGACACTGAGTTGGTAAGAAAACAATAGAAAATAAAATCTCTTGTCAGCCAGGTTCAATAGCAAAAAACAGGATGAATATGAATGTAGAATCTCTGAAGGGAGAATCATGCACAATCAATCATCATATTAAAAAAGAGAACTGATGCAAGGACAAAACCAACAGAAAAAAGCATAAGAAAACTGAAAGCTGCATAAACCTGCCTTCATGTACCTCCCTGCTTGCCTCATGAGCCAAACTGGAGGTCTTTCAACATCTTCTCCTCTAACAGCATTAAGCAACAAGGGTTCAGATACAGAAGCAGCCTTGGGTTCCGCCACAGTCCCTGGACGAGAAACTTGTGAGGACAAGAGCTTAAAAATTATTTTTTCACAAACAAGCCCAAAATTATCAGAGAAAACACATAAAAATGCATCAAATGAACAACAATCAACAAAAAATAAAATTACTCGACCACATTATTAGCACCAACTACTCACTTTCAGATTGCAAGATTAAACTAATTCCACTAATAATTAAATGCGAACTCCATAAGGTGAAGCATATTGTAGGCTAAGAAAGCGAAAATAAGTCGATTTGGACCATAATAAAATCTAATTCCAAAAGGCTACTATTTGGTTCCCAAGAAAATATGGAAAAAGTCGTGAATTTAGTTTCTAAAGGAGAAAATCAGCTCAGAATTTTTTTTAAAAAAAAAACAAGGAATTCAGAGTCCAAGAAGGTAAAAAAATAAATGAATTAAAGAGGAAAAATTACCTGGAAGTGAGCAGTAGATAACTGGAGGCTTGGGTACTGATTTTCTTGAAGAAGAGGAGAGAGCAGAGAAAGAAGAGATTGAGCTAATGCTACAAATGCAAGACATGAATCCTGTTTTTAGGATCAACCCTTTTTGGATTTAGATTCAAAGCTTCAAACTTTGAAATTCCTGTCTTAGCTGCTCCTCAAAAGTTTTCTGATTGCATCTCTCTTTCTCTCTCTCCGTGCGCTGAGGCTATGAAAGCGCTTTGCTAGTTGGGCCTTCGACAGATAGAGAGATAAGGGTCAATTTAGCAATATGTAATCTACATGCCATGTCATCATTTCCTACCCGTATGGGCCCCACCGTATTGGATTATCTTTGCCATGTCAGCATTTTTTAGGATGCTTGAGGTGAGGTCTAAATATTTTTATTGATATTCCAATATTTCAATATCACAAACGATCTTTTTTTTTTTTTTTTAATTTCTTTTCATGCGTTTTTTCCCTTGAAATTGAATGATATTTAGATAAAATCACCAAAGTAAAATCTTTCTAATAAGATAATTTCATATTTCGAAGTTTTTTGTAGACGAATGTTTTGGTTGCAAAAAATTCAATTATAATTTATAAGTTATAGCTCAATCGATAAAACCCACTAAACATGTAGAAAGAGCTCTTGAATTTAACTGAGCTGAATTAAACGGTCCCTGGAATACCGATAGTGAAAAAAAAAAACAATGTCATTAAGAGCATAGAAAATACCACCTTTGAGATATCATTTTAATATTAAGAGTATTAATGTCATTTTAATTTTTAAAATATTCTATTTTTTTTTTATATATAGAAATTCAATTTTCCCACCTTTGAGATGGAAAAACACCTTATATATACATAGAAAAGTAAGGATGGAGAACACATATTCTGAAATTGAATTTTTCTAAGAATACAACCCTTGATGCCAATCCTATACTTCACATAAAAATGCAATCCATTTTCACTCAAATCATTATACTTGTAACCATTAATAAAATATATTTATAAGTAAAATGTCACATTTCATACAAGTTTGAATATGAAAAATACCAATATTGACATTAAGACTAAACAAATTTGAATAAGAATAATTCAAAAAGAACTTTAAATAGGTACAGAAAAGATGTAAATATTAAAATTTTCTGCAGTTCAAAATTGGTTGATACCCAATCCGTCCCAATTTTTCACCTACTCCCAACAGTATACAGCTTAGAAGGAATGCATTACATTGCAACTCAACTTTGACTCAACTATACATTGAGTGCTAAACTTTGACAATTGGATAATAATATTCCAACATGTTGATCACATAGGAAGCTACAAAACCTCTAAATTATTGTACATTCACATAAAGAATGTAAATAACAAATGAATATTCTATCAGGGGAGTGGATGGGAATGGGAAAAAAAAAAAAAAAAAATTAAAAAATTAATATATTTATTTAAGTTAAAATTGTCACATTTCATACAGTTTGAATATGGAAAAAATACCAAATATTGACATTAAGGGACTAAACAAATTTGAACTAAGAATAATTCAAAAAAGAAACTTTATAAAATATTACAGAAAGATGTTAAATATTTAACAATTTTTCTGCAGTTCCAAAAATTGAGGTTGGTACCCAATCCGTTCCCAATTTTTTTCACCTACTTCCCAAACAGTATAACAGCTTAGAAGAATGGCATTACATCATGTCAACTCAACTTTTGACTTCAACTATTACATTGAGTGCTAACTTTGACATTGGATAATAATATTCCAACTGTTGATCACATAGGAGGAAGCGTACAAACTTATAAATTATTGTACATTCACATTAAAGAATTGTAAATAACAAATGAATATTCTATCTAGGGGAGTGATGGGAATTGGAAAAAAAAAAAAAAAAAAGAACAAGGAAGGATGCTAGGATAAAAAATAAAGGAAAATAGAGGGGCAGATGTAACGAAATCAGAAATTGGTGTCAATGGGAATGGGAAAAAAAAAAAAAAAAGAACAAGAAGATGCTAGGATAAAATAAAGAAATAGAGGGGCAAGATGTAAAGAAATCAGAAAATGGTGTCAATTGTTAGCTTTCTTTTTGGGGGAGATTTCTCTATAATCTGCTTTTGTCGGTCCATAAATCCAGAACCATTATTAGCAAATAACCTCCTAAGGTTTATCACTGAGAGTTCATTGAAGCTAGCAACAGCGAGATCAGCCTGCACTAATTCATACCTGCATCGTATGTATTAGTCAACAACTGAACATAGTGCAAATATACAATTCAATTGAAATTGCATGTCATAAGTGGTCGTAGATGAATTAAACAAGAAAATTAGAAATTCTTGGGGAACAGCATCATTTTGTAGTTATCCTTGCCTCAGAAGCAAAAACAAAATGATCTGAAATCAATCATTTTTTAGTTGAAAAGCACCAGGAATCCCAAGCAAAATTAAATTTATTCAAGTTATTGTGAGAGTACGCACGCGGGATGAGCACCAATCAATGCCACAGCCATCATAGTACAGTTGTGAGCAGCAGTTATGCCTCTGGGATCATCCTCGAACACCACACATTTGGATGGTTTCCTATCTAGCTGCAATGAAATCAAGGAAGTTCAAAACAAAGCAAATGAACAGAATGAACTACGACATCACATGAAATTCACCTGGCTTATTCTACATAAAGATAATTCATCCATCCAAACTTCATTACTTTCATTGTTTTTTTATCTTTTAACTATTAGAACACCTTTATTAATATAATTAGCCGACCAACTTGTCCAGTTGGAATCTGTTTCACTAGTCACATTGCTCTCTTATCTTCTGAAAACTTCCCACCCTGCTATCTATAATATAAATGCTACTGCATAAATATATGTGTCTATAGTTACTATTAGTTGAGAAAACTTTCCAGAACCAATGATAGATATGGAAGTCACATGACAACTTTAGTGATCTGGACTTTATCCAACTGTTTTCTCCTAATAGAATACTTTGTCATGCCCAGACATGTTTTGATCAATAAATTCAATTTCACATGGAACTAGAATCAGAACCTGGGTACATCAAGAGGATAAAAAGAATTGCTGGCTAACAATTTTAAGAGTGGAAGATGAGCTCCAGCATTCTAAGATGACATTGAAACACTTGTATAAAAGCACAGTTCTGCTCCATACCTTCAAAGCTGCTGAAAGAAATCTATGAGCTATTGACTCCATGCCATCTTCCTCGGACACTATAGCCTGAAATGACAAATAGATAACTATCATTCAGCAGTAGGCTACCAGAATGTAGACAATCTAAAACAATCAAATGTCATGTGGCAACTTCGAAGAATTATTTGCTATATATGTGTGATCTATTAGGGCAATCAGATCACACAGACAAATATTATCAGATCTCTTCCTGGTATATCTATTTTCTGTACTTGACCAGCAAATAAATTGTCTAAAAAAATGTAATGTATTCAAAAATAAAAGGGTAAATGAATATAAAGCATCACACAACCATTAGCAATTGGAAAAAAAAAAAAAAAAAGTAAAGATTTAAACATGACATAGTTATGAACCAATTAATGGTCATAGAATGCTATTGTTTTTTTAGCATATCAAGTTTGGACAAGTGGAATCTAAAATGGGCACATGCCATGAGGGAATTGCATTCTTTCTGTCCATACTTATCTGCCATAACCATGAGCTCTCCCCTGCAAAAAAAATTGCATGTGAACTACAGAAGGTATTAACCTGAAAATACTTCTTGAGCCCCATTCGCTCCAAAGCTCCTATCATGTTCACTCGATCAAGGCTTGAAACCACAGCACAAGGAATACGAGCTCTAGCTACAGCATCCAGCCATTCTTCCAGGCCCTCAATGGGTTCTCTAAGCTGAATGAAGAATACTAGAAGCATTTAATTTTTGAATAAGAAAAAAAAAAAATATATATATATATAAGGGAATACTAGAAGCATTTAATTTTGAATAAGAAAAAAAAAAAGTATATATATATATATATATATATATATATATATAAGCCATAAATTCAGCAGAGAAGCCTCACTCTAAGTAGATAATCATGGTATAATTGTGACAATCTCAACTTTAATCTGTCCACTTCACTTTGTGCCGTCTCCCATTGCAACACCTGAAATAAATGTGAAAGTTTCAGGTATGTTTGTTATAGCTTCCAAAGGTAAAATTACTACCACTATCCAGAAAAAATGTGAAGCTAAATGGTGTCCAATTCCTGTCACTCAAGAGAACCACTATCTTAACCTCCAACCCTGGACTAATCTTAATTTGATTTGATACATGATAAGTTTATCATAAGTTCACCCAAAAGGTACCCTCTTCACGTCCAAAAGGTACCTCTCCCTGCTCCTCCCCCCCTCTCCCGCCCTCCTGAATTTAAAAAAAAAAAAAAACAATAATCCCTTTTCTTTCCTCATAAGATATCAGATTATCTGCTTCAACTTCAAAAGAATAATACGAAAGGAAACTCTTAATATCCAATTTCAATAGAACTTCTGCAACCTATCTCAGGTAGTCTATAAAATATCATGCTTCTTCCTTTTGAATATATGATTCTCAATAGGACGTCTTTCTATTCAGTTAGCATACAGTTATATAAAAGAAAAGTACTTGAAGAATCTCCTAAACGAAATGAGACACCATTTTTATCAGATGTTACAATTCTAGTCTACCACATAATTTTAAAAGGAATATGTCAAGAATGTAGATCTCCAAAGTGAACCTAGAAGTGACAAAGATTTCCAAAACCTTTTTGCCGCAGTACAAGATCAACGCTGAAATATACATCAGTCTTTTTGTTGCGATGTCCAATTTTTGGAAATTCCTTTCGTTATCAAGCAGAATTCAAAAAAAAAAAAAAAAAAAAAAAAATCCCTTTTCTTTCCTCATAAGAATCAGAACTGCTTCAACTTCAAAAGAATAATACGAAAGGAAACTCTTAATATCCAATTTCAATAGAAACTTCTGCAACCTACCAGGCTAAAAATCTATGCTTTCTTCCTTTTGAATAAGATTCTTCAAGAGTTTTATTCAGAGCATACAGTTAAAAAAGAAAACTTGAAGAATCTCCTAAAGAAATGAGACACGCATTTTTATCAGACATTCTACCACCACATAATTTTAAAGGAATATGTCAAAATGAGATCCCAAATACTAAAGTGACCAAAAATTTTCCAAACCTTGCGCAGTACATGATCAGCGCCTGCATATAGCATCAGTCTTTGTGCATGTCCATTTTTTGGAATTTCCTTTTCTACAAGAGAATCAAATCAAGTGTATAAATCATTTGACTGTCATAAAAGTCCCTGATTGAATCCCTTGATAATCAACAGAAGCAGAATTTGCTTCCATATAAAAAAACCAAGAGACACCTAAAAGACAGCAAAAGAAATTTCATGCACCCTTGATGCAAGAAAAAAGGGTAAATTTTGCATTAAAAACTTGATGCACTTTGCAACAGCTTATCTGAACTTGCTCAATAAAAAACATTGAAAAGAAAAGATAAATTCAGCATACTGGCCACAGCCACAAGAAATTTTCATTATTAGCAAGCTAAGACAAAAGATTAACAGTGAGTGAAAAACGTCAACAGATACCCTCTTCAGATGCAAGCTGCTTCCACACATTGAACTTCATAGCACGAGTATCCACCTGAAATGGATCGTGCATAAAATTAGATACAAACAGAATATCCCCCAAGCGTAATGTGAAGTTGCAGTTTCTTTAATTTTTTTTAAGGTAGTGTAAACAACAATCTGACTTTGTCTTTAAGTTCACTTAAAATCTTTTAGTCTCACATACACATGCACCGATGCGTTATTTCTCAACAGATTAAGGCCATACAATTTGCTGCCTGTTATTCAATCAAATATTTCACATCCCCAACATTTTTTAAAACTTCAATTACAATACCTCCATAACTAGCAATCACAGAAATTGTTATTTCAAGTAAAAGGAACAGAAAAGAAATACCAAACTATTGCAGAAATAGTTAAACTGTTGGAAAACCCCAAGTCTTATCCCGCAGTTTGGCAATTGCAACAAATGCATTCCTTAAACTCCTACGCTGCTTACAAAATATTTCCTAGAGGCAATTCCCTTGAGCCTCACCAAAAGGTAAATATCAAAGCTGCACTTTGGAATATAGCTCATGTTGCTGGATTGAAAATGAGAATGCAATGAAGTTTGAAGATTTATCATTGTACTGTGTTAGGTTAAAACTTTATAATATCAACCGAGTCAAATATATTTGTGCCCAATGTATCAAGACTGAAAAAGAAAACCATATGCAACGCTGAAGTTAACCCTTGTTTCTTTTAGCATCATGTGAATTAACTCTAATTTCTTTTCATATCATGTGAATTAACCCTTATTTCTTTTAGTATCATGTGAATGTGAACCCTTTTAAGACGAAAGACTGCAAATTTGAGAATTTACCACAACATTGTCCCAAGAGAAAATAAGACCATATGCTTCATCAGGTTTCATGGCATAGCGTATCCGTTGAAGAAAACCTTCTTGCAGTCTATCATTCAAAAAATCCTATTTGGGAAAAAATATATATATACTTAAGTCATATCCTATGCTCCTGTAGCACTAGAAACTATATCAAAATCCAAATTCGACTCAACAAGAATGAGGGCCATCAGCTAAAGATGCTCACCACATCAACCTTCAGAGGCCCATCTTGTCTAAAAGTCTCAAAGCCTTCTCCATATTCAGCTCCAATAGCCTAATAAGCAAACAAAACAATAGCCAAATCAAAACATAGGATTCATAACATAAAGAAAGAAACAATAGAAACTGCAAATTTCAAAATAGCCAAGATTTAAAAAAAAAAAAAAAAAAGGTTACCTCTTGCATGAATAACTTGTTGGGTGTGGTGGGAAACTCATTAACAGAACCATTTTCGTCGAACCGACAAGAATTTCTAATCACTAAACGATTTCGCACCTTTAATTTCTGCTGAAAGATCAAAAACATAACAAGGAATTAGAAATTAGCAGAAAAATAACGAAAAAATAAAAACGAGCAAGTGATAGAAAAGCATACCGATAAACTGCGCTTAGAAGGGAAGTGAGACTGAGAAAGGCGAGAAGAAGGAGTAGAAGATGATAGAAGCAGAGAAGAAGAGCTTCTAAAATTGCTGCAGCTACACTCCATATCTTCTATATTAATTAAATTTACAGGAAACAGAAGCTAAATAAAGATAAAACCAGAAAAGTCGTGTGTAGAGCTGCAGCTCGGAGTTTTATTTTTAAGAAATAAATACTAAAAATAAATAATAAATATTTAATATAAATTATTAAGCAGCGGTGTGCGTATCCCATGGATTACTTTCCCGACAATAAACAAAAGCGAAAGTTATTACGTATCTACGATTTCAAGCAGTAATAAATATTTTTTTTATATTTATCCTTTATACATGATTAATAATTATTATTTCAATTTAATAATTTTCTTAAAGAATTAGTATTAAATTGAAAGTAATATAGTCAATTTATTTAATAATTTATTATAATTTGGACAAATTTAAATGGTTTTTTTTAGGGACGTAAAATTTCAAATGTGAAAAGTCTTGTATGAAAGCATGTTCTAAAATCGATATCTTCTATATGACTAATGGTCAGCTCATATAGGGTCTTTTAGGCGATAGTTTGGGTCTCAGGGCCAGTCCGAAAATGCCTATCCGTCTGCTAGATGCGTCATTAAGAATTGCATAAATAATATAAATTCATTCACAAAATCCATGTCATTTCGGAAGCATTCGGCAGTTTTGGCTCAATATCTCTCAGTCTATTGCTTGGAACACTATTTCGAGACTATAATATTTCTTCTATTGACCTGCAGGAAGCATTGAAATAAAGCTCATGCCGTTAAGTGCTGGAGCTTTTGAGTCAAAAAATTCAAAGTTCCCTTTGGTCTAAAAAGCCTTATATGAAAGCCTGCTTCAGAGTCAATATCTTCTATATCACTGATGGACAACTCGTATAGGGTCTTCTAGGCTATAGCTTGGGGTCTCAGTGTCAGTTCAACATGCCTATCTTACCTGCTAATTATGTCATTAAGAATTGTACATGCGTAGTATAAATTTATGCACAAAATCTGTGCTGCTCCTAAAGCATTCGACATTTTTGGCCTAATATCTCTCAGTCTATCGCTTGGAAAACCACTTTGAAACCATAATATTTCATCTATTGACATGTAGGAAGCATTGAAATTAAGCTCGAGCTATTTTGTGTTGGAGCTTCCGACCAAAAATCCAAAGATATCTTTTGGTCTAATAAGCCCTGTATGAAGGTCTTTTTCGAAGTCGATATCTTCTATACCACTGATATAACTCGTATAGGGTCTTCTAAGCTATAGTTTTGGGTCTCGGAGTCATCTTGGCATGTTTATCTCACTCTTTATTGTGAAATTAAGAATTGCATACGTAATATAAATTCATGCACAAAATCCGCAACACTCTTGAACCATTCAGCAGTTTTGGCTCAATATCTCTCAGTCTGATGCCTGGAACACCACTTCGAGACCATAATATTTCATCTATTGACCTGTAGGAAGCATTGAAATCAAGCTCGGGCCTTTTTGTGCAAGTGCTTCCGGTCTCGAAAATCCAAAGGTATACTCTTTTGGTCTAAGGCTTGTTCCAGAGTCGATATATTATGTATTACTAATGGGCAGCTCGTATAAGGTCTTCTAGGCAATAGTTTAAGGTCTTCGAGTCAGCCAGCATGCCTATCACGCCTACTCATTGCGCCATTAAGAATTGCATACGTAGTATAGATCATGCACAAAATTCATGTCACTCCTGAAGTATTCAATAGTTTTGGCCTAATATCTCTCAGTCTATCGCTTGGAACACCACTTTGAGACCATAATATTTCGTCTATTGACATGTAGGAAGCATTGAAATCAAGCTCGTGTCATTTCGTGCCGGAGCTTCCAGACCAAAAATCCAAAGGTATACCCCTTTGGTCTAAAAAGTCCTATGTGAAGGCCTTTTCCCGAGCCAATCTCTTCTATACCACTGATGGATAGCTCGTGTAGGGTCATCTATGCTATAGTTTTGGGTCTCGAAGTTAGCCAATATGCTTATCTCGCCTGCTTATTACGTAATTAAGAATTGCATACGCAATATAACTTTATGTGCAAAATCCGTGCCACTTGTAAAGCATTCGGCATTTTTGGGTCTCATATCTCTTAGTTTGTTTCTTGAAACACTACTTTGAGACCATAATATTTCATCTATTGACCTATAGAAAGCATTGGAATCAAGCTCGGGCCATTTCATGCCGGAGCTTCTAGTTCCAAAAATCCAAAGGTATACCCCTTTGGTCTAAGAAGCCGTGTGTGAAGGCCTTTTCCGGAGCCGATATTTCTGTACCCCTGATGAAAAGCTCATATAGTGTCTTTTAGGCTATAGTTTGGGGTCTCAGAGTCAGCTCGACATGTCTATCTTGCCTTCTCATTGCATCATTAGAGAATTTCATACGTAGTATAAATTCATGCGCAAAATCTCTGTGCCACTCCGAAAGCATTCAACAGTTTTGGCCTAATATCTCTCAATTTGTTGCATGGAACACTATTTGGAGACTATAATATTTCATCTATTGACCTATAGGAAGCATTGAATTCAAGCTCGACCATTCCATACTAGAGCTTCCAGGCCCAAAAATCCAAAGGTATGCCCCTTTGGTCTAAGAAGCCCTGTATGAAGGCATGTTCCGAAAAAGATATCTTCTGTACCGCTAATGAAATGCTTGTATAGGGTCTTCTAAGCTATAGTTTTGGGTCTCGAAGTCAGCCCGGCATGCCTATCTCGCTTGCTCCTTGTGTCATTAAGAATTGCATACGTAGTATAAATTCATGCACAAAATTCATGCCTCTTAAAGAATTCGGCAGTTTTGACCTGATTTCTCTCAGTTTAATGCATGGAACACCACTTTGAGACCATATTATTTCGTCTATTAACTTGTAGGAAGCATTGAAATCAAACTCGGGTCATTCCATTCCAGAGCTTCCGGTCCCAAAAATCCAAAGGTATACCCCTTTGTTCTAAGAAGTCAAGTAAGAAAACTTGTTCCAGAGTCAATATCTTCTGTACCACTGATGGGCAGCTCATATAAAATCTTCTAAGCTATAGTTTAGTATCTCGGAGTTAGCCCGACATGCTAATCTCGCTTGCTTATTGCGTCATTAAGAATTGCATCCGTAATATAAATTCATGTGCAAAATTTGTGCCACTCTTAAAGCATTCAACAGTTTTAGCCTAATATCTCTCAGTCTGGTACATGGAACACCACTTTGAGACCATCGTCTATTTACCTATAGGAAGCATTGAAACCAAGCTCGGGCCATTCCTTGACGGAATTTTCGGTTCCAAAAATCCAAAGGTATATCCCTTTGATCTAAAAAACCACGTGAAGGCTTGTTCCAAAACCGATATCTTCTATATGACTGATAGGCAGCTCGTATAGGGTCTTCTAGACAATAGTTTAGGGTCTCAGGGTTAGCTCAACATGCCTATCTTGTCTGCTATGCGTCATTAAGAATAACATACGCAATATAAATTCATGCGCAAAATCTGTCACTCTAAAAGAATTCGACAGTTTAAGCCCAACATCTCTCTATCTATTTCTTGGACACCACTTCAAGACCGTAATATGACATCTATTGACCTGTAGAAAGCATTGAAATCAAGCTCGCGTCGTTCGGTGCTGGAGCTTCAGGGCTCAAAAATCCAAAGATATATACCTTTTAATGTAAAAGTCCTATATAAAGGCTTGTCCGAAGCTGATGTCTTCTATAGATCTGACGGAAGATCGTATATGGTCTTTGGAACATGCTTTTAATCAGGTTAGTTTTTTAGCTAATATCTTTTGAACATAAGATGGGCAGCTCAAACAGCAACTTCTACATGCTAGCTTTGGAATTTTGGCTAGCACGACAAACTTGTCTCTGTCATTTAAAAGCTTTGTTTTGAAAAGTATATGTTATCCAATTTCATCACTGAGATTCGCGCGTTACTCTGAAAATTTGGAGAACTTTTGTCCCAATATCTTTCTTTTTGATGCTTTACATCTTGCGTTTAGTCTCTAGTATGCGATCAATTAATCTCAATGATGTAACAATATTGAATTTGGGCAATTTCCTACTCAAGCTTCTAGCAGAAAACCCAAATGGATAAGCCTTTTGGTCTAAACATTTCCATAATCTAGACAACTTGTACAGTGACTTGTACACTTGGCCCGCCACAACATATTTATCTTGTACACTTGTTCACTTTTGATTTTATTTTCAATGATTTAATTTTCATTTGACTGAAAATTTTTTTCAACTGAACAACTCAAACGTTAAAATATCCGAAAATTTTTTTTCTAACTAATTATTTTTGGAAAAAATAAAGGTGTAATTTTTTTTATTTTCCTTTCAATTTAAAGAGAATTTTTTAAAAGGAAAATAAGTTCGTCCTTATTTTTCTTTTTCTTCTCAAATAAGAAAACATAACATTCCTTGTATCTTAAAATTACTTAACTGAAAATAGTGTTCTCAAGGAAAAAGACTAACTACAAATTAATACTATCTTTTCATGCGCTTTCTGCACAGAAAAATTGACTTCGAAGTCAAGCGGAGGGCATTTAAGAATATAAGAAGGAAAGAAAGCGAAGGATCTTTTCTGATTCATTGGCAGAAAATGCTGCCGACCGAGATAGAGAACACTGCCAATGCATGCAAGTTTACAAATTGGAAGCAAAAATTATGGACAGCCAAAAGAAAAAGCTTCCTTTCAAGTATCAATTTCTCTACCCAAAATAACATTTCTAGAGCAAACCCCAAAATTTAAAAACCCTTCACCAACTCTAGAAAGGAAAATATAGCCTCTACTTTTGGTTAAAAATCTAAACTCCTAGTGTTACTTTACAATAGCCAAACGACTTGCCCCTTTAAGTTTAACCTTCAACATCAATGAGAAGTATCTGTAAATTCCATCCATGGTTTCACCATTTCCCTGTGTCAGAATATGCTAGTTAGTGAGCAGTGATGCAATAAAGAACAAGCAAACGAAAGGTGTTTTGCCCAAGAACACCTTTAACTGTTAAGTATATAAAAGAAATGAAGGTACTTTGTTTATGTTTTGCTAAAACAGAAATATTATAAGGAGATGGATAGGTACCATTGCCAGGTGTTTAAGCTCTCAAATCCTCTGCAACTTTCAAAACTATCAGAGTTGTCATTGTATTTGTAAAAGTAGTCTCCGCTGAACTGTCGAATGGTCGAAACAAAGTATAATCAGAAGATCATTTGTAGAAGCAACATAAAATGATAAAAAAAAAAAAAAAGAAATGTAATAATCCAAATGATATGTAAAATTTTAATTTATTGAAAGTCTTTGTGAGTCTCAAGAGTATCCAGACCAGATCAAACTTTTCAACTGTTGCTGAATCTGCCTCTTCATCCACCTACAAACAATTTTACTCATTATTTGAATCTTCAAAACCTCGAACGTTAGAAAGGAAACAAAGCTCCTTATTGAAAATAATAGCTTTATAATAGTTCTAAGTCCAATATGGAGACAAAAGGTGTGAACACCATTTAAGAATAATCGAATGAGAAAACTAATCAAGATAAACCAAATTATTCACCAAACTAGATTAGATTAATACAAATGTCAAAGAGCATAATTTAGAAAACTATGCCCTAGTCCAAAACCTTAATTTGCATTTTGGGCAGAAAAAAAAATTGCCAACAGGGTATGAGAGGCATTAAAAGGAAAAAAATTGTATGTGGTTAACTTGCTAAACTGTTGTTTCTACTAACGTACAATACTGTGTGAAGGAGCTAAAAACAATTAATAAAGTGAAAAAAAAGAAATCATCTTTAGCAAGTTAGCTAATGGTATACTGAGGTTCATTTCCTATAGCAGTATTTTATGATGCACTCAAATTCCATATGTCAAATGCAACATTAGTTTTTGAAAACTTTCTATGATAATCATATTTGTTTCAGATAAGAATACTTATTCTAACAAAAAAGGACCTAAAATATCCCATTACCTCTAATGGATCATCAATCTCTTGAAGCAATGTTTCAACATAAGCTGAATTCACCTCTTTAGCTTTAATTATATATGGTTGCCTCTCCTAAAAGACAAGAACAACATCACTAATCAAAAACAATCAGAACACATAGTAAGTAGGAAGAAGTTGTAAAAATCTTTGCAAGATCACCATTACCTCTTTTGACATCTTCTTCCAAGTCTCAAACCCTTTTCTATCAATGTTAATCAGTTTCCCATTATTGCAACTCTTCATAAAATCCTCCCTATCCCCCAGCAAAAAAAAAAAAAAAAAAACTTTGATTCATGCAATCTCTGTTGAAGCAATGTTTCAACATAAGTGAAAATTCCAACTCTCTTTAAAAAGCTTTTAATTATAGTATGGTTGCCTCGTCTAAGACAAGAACAGACATACTAATGCAAAAACAATCAGCACAGCAATAGTAAAAGTAGGAAGAGTTGTAAAAATCTTTGGCAAGATCAACCAATTACGACCTTCTTTGACATCTTCTTCCAAGTCTCAAAACCTCTTTTCCTATCAAATGTAATCAGGATTTTATTTCCATTAATTGGCAAACTCTTCATAAAATCCTCCCTATCCCCCAGCAAAAAAAAAATAAAAAAAGAATTTCACTCAATAATCAATTCAGTAAAAGTTTTATTTAACTAAATTTGGACAAAAAAAAAAAAGAAAAAAAAACAAAAACAGCTCAATTGGGCCTCCACAAACAATGCAAAATGCTTAAGTAAAATTATGCAAAAAAAAAAAAAAAAAAAAAAAAAAACAGCTCAATTGGCTCAAACAATCAAAATGCTTAAGTAATTATGCAATTGTTTGTCAGTGTTTTTTTGCTGATGCACATGATTTCAGTTGGATTCTTTCTTTTCCATAACCATTGACATAAACTGTAAAATTTTATTAGCAGCAACAGATTCAAAAGTGACATCAACAAAAACCGCACATCAATTTATATTTATAAGGTTGCAATCAGTTCTACAATATCAAAAAGAAGACTGTGAATTGAGAATGTACATGAAGATTCGAAAAGGCGATCTGGGTTGATCACTATAGCTTTCTTTTACGACTTTTTGCTTTTTATTGAGGCCTTTGAATCGCTTGACAATCTGTTTGCTTTCAGCTTCGCATTCGTGCATATCAGCCAAAGCAATCGGCACCGAAACGCCACAGTTAATGCTAAAACATGCATTTAGAAAAACCCAGAACAGGATCAAAACTAATAACCCACTGAAATGAGTACATGCAAATGTGAACTCAGTGTAAGATTACCACTTCTCGAAGGCGCTTCCATCAGGAGCACGAAGGATGGCATGGACCCTTTTGCGGGTTCTTGCAGGATTCGCCATTTAAGGATTTCTTCAATCTCTGTAACTCTTCATGTCTTGTTACGCTGCTATAGCAATAGCCGATGGGAAACAAAACAAAGGGGAAAGAAGAAGTGAAAAGTGAAAAGTGAAAAATGAACTCTTGTGGTTCTTGCTAACATGCGCCAGATGTTATTTTCTTAAAAGAATTGCTAAATTCCTACATTAATAATAATAATAATAATAATAGTGCAATCGCTGTTTAAATTTATTATCAACCAAAAGTCTGATTGATGAATTTTCAGAAAAATTTATTTAATATTAGATTTTTAAATTTAAAGATATATAGTTGAGGAGAATTTATTTAAAATATCACTTTAGAATTTAAATATGAAAAAGTCTGTGTAAATTAAAAAATTTTTAAATTTATTAGTTGATATTAATATCAATTTTAAATTCTTATTATTATTTGACATTCCTTGTTTAATTTATTTATGTAGGATATATTTTACCATTGTATTATATTTTAAATTTTTTCTGTTTCAAAGGATGCAATAAGATTTAAATAATAATTAAATCCCAAAATTCTTTTTTCCTTTTACATGTAAAAACGTAAGGAAAAAGAAAAAAAGACAGTGCACGTTAGTCGATGCCATAAAGCTATCGTGCGCCAAATATTTTTTGCGCGGGACGGAATCGCTATTATTAAAACGGAAAATAGCAATTTCACGGACAGATTAAAATTTCTCCCGCGGTTACCAAATGTGCCTAATATAGAAGAATGACTCAAGATTTTCGCGGTGAACTACAAACTAATCAGAAATTGACACGTGAACGTCATCTATCTGCACGTTAGCCACCTGTCATGAGACTTGGGGGTAAAAATTTTGGCAACCGATCAATTTTAGTATTAGCAGTAGAGAAAATATACATAGAAATGAAAAATTAGGAGAGAGAAAATTACTGAGGTCACAAATGAGAGAAATAAAAGAGGAAAAAGAAAATGACTATGGTTCTTGGGGATTGTCTCAAAAAAAACTCATTTGTATTGGTTTAATAACTTTAAGGAATCGAACTCTCAAGCTTGTAAAATAAATATGCATAATTCCGAGTTGTAAAGAGGTAATTTTTTTAACTATAAATTACAAACGAGCCGAGCTCAGTTCGAGTAAAGCTTACATATTACATTGTTCGTCCATACCTAGTATTTCAATCTCATTATAAAATATCTCTTTCTAATGCTTAAAAACAATTTTATTACCTAGTTTAGCGATGGTAATTAAGAATTGTAAAAATGAGATGCATTCTTAATCCAAACTTTATCATTAAATCAATTTTCTATAGGAAGATAACTCCTTATACAGTTATACTTCAACATAAACGAGTAAACAAAATAACTTAGAGCCCAGCTGTGCCCAAAAGCTAAATCCAAGCTATGAATATAGAGACTCACACAATACATCTCTACAGATGAAAGAATATATAAAGAAAAAGAAACCTGAAATGAAAGGCACAAACAACACAAGCAAGCTATAACCATGGCACAAGAACAGTGCAAGACAACAAAGAAAATGAAAAACTACTACACAACCAGAAAATTAATTATTTGTCTATTTGTTAATGCATCACATTATTTAAATCTTGCATCTTTTTCTTACTTGGTTTTGTCATTGGCAAAGATATATGAATAAATCCAAACTTTCTCCTTTGTGTGATGAACGGCTTTTGATGATCACCTCCCTCTTTCTCAGCTCTTGGGTGAAATCTTAAGTCCTCTCTCAATTCATGAAGCATCTGACTCAAGGCCACTTTTTCTCTTTCTTCGCGGACTTCTTTTGGCTTTCCCATTACACATTCTTCTGGCAAAACTTGTTTCTTGCTGAGTACATCTCGCATTGAAACTGTTGATTTTAGAACAGGCTTTGGATCATCACTGACTGGTTTGCAATCCTTAATTTCATGATTTAAAGGAGAATCTAGATGGTTATCGATTTGATGCAAATCGAAATTACTGAGCCCAGTATCACAATAACCTGTATGTCCCTGTCCTTCTTGATCATTCTCCGGTATCCATCTGCGAATAGCCTCTTCAGCAGCAAACTGCTTTCTATTTGCCATTTCAACTTTATTCAAAGCTTCTTCTAAGGCCAGTTTACTTTGTTTAACTTCTTCTGTTGCTTCCCTCAATTTACTTAAAATAGACATTTTAGTGATATCACCTTCACGCTTTTGGGGTTTCACAACTTCTACTTTCTTGGCAAGCCCTTCAACTTTTTGAGCTTTAGGAGTCAATGGAATTTGTGCTTCAAACAAGGCTACTTTCTCTGGCTCTGGCAATACAAATCCTGATGAGGTCTCATTGCCTGATAAAGCCTTGATTTCAGCTAATGCAACAGCTTCTGCTGCTCTTGCTGCTTCCTCCATTTTTTTGGCTGCAACCAACCTCAATTCAGCAGTTTTTAAATTAATCTTGGTTTGTTCATTTGCCAACATTGTTTTGGAAACTTCTGATTTTTCAACTTCAGCCATTTGCTTCAACTGTTCAGCTTTGTGATCACTTATTTCACAGTCAACTATAAGCGGCTTCACTCTTGCTTGTTTCAGCTCCTCCTCCAAAGACAACACCCCTGCAAATTTCGATGTTAGCCTCTTGCGTGTTTTCTGAAGAAATGTTTTCTCTTTCTTCATTTTCTTATTCAAAGACTCAACGGAAGTTTGAATCACTCCTAGGTCATTAATAGTTTTACCAAGATTCAATTTTGCTTGCTTCAACTCCATTAAGATCAAGTCAGGAGACGAAGTAGGACAAGGGCTCAAACTTCCTATTCTCTGCTGCTCTCGGTGATTAACATGAAAGCTGCAATTTTCTTTGTTCATTTCTTTGATAGCAGGACTTGACATCTGTTCATCTGATACTGTCATACATCTCAACGCTTCTTTTTGTAGCTGCAGCTTTAACTCTTCCACAATTCTTTTTGTCGTTCCAAGTTCTTCGAGAACATCGAGCGTTTCCAATTCTTTTACAATTAGATCCTTTTCTAATTCTGCTGCCTGTTCTTCTACTTTCTTTATGTCTAGCTCCTCAAAGCCCTGCTGCACATCACAATGGTCATACAAATCAACAAAATGACAAAAATATGTATGTTTACACATTCTTTGTACATTTTGAAATCAGAATTGAAACTAAAGAACTTAAGATTGCAAATAAAATGGTAAAATGATTAGGTTCTGGGATTCAAGGTATTGAATCATGTGAAAAATCTCTGTGTTCATGAAATTTTGAAATGGATAAACCAGTGACTTTTACAGTTGTGGTATATCATAATCTGACAGCCATCATTAATTAGTAATTCAACAACAATGGTACAATAACAACACATGGTTTAATTCAGATTACTAAAAATAATCCAAAAAAAAAAACAATTATATGCATGAAAATTAATGTGATTCTGGATAATATCTTCAACAAGGTCAAACGTTACCTACAGAATTGTTGACCCATTTATTGATTTATTGCATAAAAATATCATCTCCTCATTGAAAATAGTCAATATCTATGTGAAAACAAAACCAACCAAACCTTACTAGAAATTAAAATTAAAAACTGTATAGCAGCTAATGTTAGTATTTCCAACCTTGTAATAAGGAATCCAGGGCCCGCTTCCTCCAAACCGGGTCACGGCCTCCTTGACTGACCCGAACGGCGGCGACGTATCAATCTCCGCCCTCAAACCCACCTTCCTCGTCCCCTGGTTAGCGACATTCTGCGGGGCGCAAAGTCCGAAACTTTCAGGCGCCACATCGGGCCTCACTTCACGGATTCCGGGAGTACCCGGTACCGGTTCAGAGACAGAATCCGGACTTTGTGCCATAGAAGAAACATGCGAAGCTGAAAGTTGAGCGATGGTGCAATGCAAAAGTGAAAGATTGGCTTTAAAGGGTCAAAAGAGAAAGCCATGATGGGGGTGCAATTTTCAGAGTTTGTATGTGATGATAGTGTCTGTGGTCCGAGTCACCAACTCGGACCCAAAAAGAGCAAGACAACCCGGGTCCACGCTCCACTCAGTGAGTAACAAACCGAGCGCTTTTCCCATTTGGGGTGGTAATTCCATGGAAGAGGGAACAAACTGTTTCGCTGACGTGTCGTGATTTGAATGGCGAGAAAAATGGAGCGTCAAAGCCTTAGGACATGCAAGCAACAGTGAGTTTACACGTGGACAAGTGTAGATAAGATTGAAAGCATAATATTAGAAATTAGTGGTTCGATTTTAACCGTGATTTGCGGTTCTGTTAAAGTGATTTGAGGAAGTTGCAGCTATGATTGAATTTTGGTATGAAAAAGCAAAAAATTGTGCATGCAGAAAGATGTGTCTTTCTCTTTTTAGCTTTTCTTTTATCTCAGGATAAATAAAGTACTCAAATTTATTTTCTTTTGTATTACTGTTATTATTTATATACTTTATACATAAAAATATTCAATTCGTTGGGATTAAATTTGTGAAAAAAATACTTAGAAAGAGAAGCAGTTATAAATCCTGAAACGAAAATAGTCTCGCACCTACAGAATAAGGGATACTCATGATAAAATACATATATTATTTTAAAATCTTATCGTTCGTAGGAGTTTTCACCTATCTATATATATTCATTTCTCAATTCCTATTTACTTTTTATGGTATTTAAAATTTATATTATAAATCAGGTGCAGTATGATTGATCTTTACATTTTTTATAAAAATATATAAAAGTGAAAAGCATCAAATTTTAAAAGATAGAGAGAAAAATATATATTGTACAGCTCACAATATCATTTCAATTTATTTGACCGAAGAATTGAAATTAATCTGAAAAGAAATTAAAGTGAGTATCTTGGAGAATCAAGTTTATAAGTCAATTATATGCAATCTGCATTATTTACTATGGTTTGAATATCTTTTAATAATTTCCATAATGTTGACTGAGTATCAGAACTTAGAATTGAAAACTCGACTCAAAATGACCATTACTTGGTGGTGTTTTTCAACCACTAGTCAATCTTCACCTCTTTAAATAAACCTAATTGCTTAAATATTAACAATAAATTCAAAAAGTAAACTATAAGAATTTAGAAAATTGTAATAGGATTTAATAAGAACTTAGCGTAAAAACTTTTTGCTCTCTCAATCAAAAAAGCTTTATAAAGATTGAATTTTTATTCTCGTACGAGAATTGAGATCGTTTACCATTTCAACCGATACTTTGATAACTATTTTATCTCTTTAAAGAAATACAAAAGACATAAAGATAGTTAAAAATAATTAAAAATAATAATTCTATGCCTAAAAAGATTAAAAACATAATTAACATGACGTTTTGAAAGTAAATGGGTGTGTATTCTAACAAAAAAATGTGTGTGTGTGTTACACGTTTCGAAGATGAAAATCACTTAGATGGAAACCCTTGCATCTTCCATTGAAGTCAACGCTTCCAGCAGCTATAGAAGCTAGAAGCCATGACGACGCGTGTTGCTTTCGCTTACCTTGGAAGGAAGCCGACCCCTCAACTTACGACTTGAGGTGCTCTGCGGCTGGCTTTCATCGTTTTGTTATCAAGAAAGTACAGGAAGGGAAGGATACAATTGCCATTAACCATGTGTCCGAAATGTATATGAAAGAATGATCATTAATTATTACACAGTTTGCATTGTTTTTATCTTAATCATTTGTCATGATTAGGTTAATCCTCAGAAGAGTACTGTTTCACCAGCAATCTACTGTTCTAAACGACTAGACATATCAATATCTCCATTGCTTGATTAGTTGATTTACCTACCATATCTCAACCATTGATTTACATGTGCTCAGTGCTTAAAATCAATAATGAGTTTCCTAATTTCTTCAATTTTTTCTCACCTCAGTCACTGAATTATTCATATTGATTGATATAAAATAGATATTTTGATATTTTCAATAATAAATTTTGAAGTGATTAGGTCTGAGTAATTAGTTAGGATATCAAAGATTAATAAATGCATTCATATTTAAGGTTAGATATATAAAAAATTGCAGGATAATAGGATGGGACATCAATGAATATGATGATACATTTGATTTGCAAATATAATTTGTAAGGAAAAATGTTTATGAATACCCATTTATCATACTTGGAAATGTCTAGTATTCAAAGATGGAGTGTTTTAAATTTACAATTTTACTAATATATGTGTTTCTTGGTTTAAAATCGTAGATCTGAATCTAGATCGATGGATTCTAGATAGTTTGATCTAATGGTTGGTGTGCATTAGGTTTCTTATTTAATTGAGAGATTGAGCCGTGGAGTCAACATTTTGGAGAGGAGAAATTCTTAGGTAGATACGGTCTATTACATCAGCTATAGACTCGCCCAATGAAATAAAGTCGCATCAGCAATTTGCTTTTCGCTAGCTTATTCCCTTTTAATTTTTTGGCGTTTTCCCTGCTAATTAATCCACATTTCATGTAAAACATTAGATGGAGATTTATCTCAAGCCACATGTAACAGACTGATTTTCTTTTAGTGTCGCGAAATTTTCGTAGGAATTTCCTTCAATATATATTTTTTTTAATTTTTAAACAATGTTAATTATCTCAAGCCACAGTAACAGACTGATTTTTCTTTTAAGTGTCGCGAAATTTTTCGTAGGAATTTCCTTCATATAATATTTTTTTTTTTAATTTTTAAACAATGTAATTACTTGCCTCCTTTGAAAATCTAACACTTCCAATTTCGTGATCTAGCTCTAGCTTTAATAAGTGACATAAGACGGTGCTCCGGCACCGATTGTGGCATCTGCCGTCTGGTTCTCCGGGATTGGCAGGTGGGTGTTACACCACATGTTGAAATTCTACTAGCTAGACCAATCTACCTAATTAGCACAGCAAATATGATTAGTTGCAATGATAGTTAATTACTTGTCAAGTCTATTTACACAAAAATGTATGTGTTGTGTGATGGATATACATGTACTAGTTGATTGAACAAAGGCATCTTAAGCTCATTTAATGTCAAACCTTGACCTCCCTATGTCTCTTAAATTGCTTGGCTCTAATGGCAATATGTAGGTCCAGCATCAAATGTGACAATTTGAAAGAATTTTTGGTTATTATAACTATTTATGAATTGTAGCATTCAAAATATTGAATTTTATAATAAAAATAAAGTACATTTTTTAGAAAAAAAAAAATATATTCTGTTTTTGAGTGCTACTAAATAGTATAATTTATGGATTACAATGGGACGAAGCTAGGACAATTATTTTAGAGGAGCAAAATGAAATTTTTTTAATCTTTAAAGAGGCCAAAATAAATTTTTTTTTTTATTTTTTAAATACCAAAATGTAATTTTGCATAAGGAATTTTTTTTTTTTTTCTTTGGGTGACCAGAGCCCCTGAAGAACTTCACTCCCTACCTGACACAATCTCATTAAATGTTCGTAATGCACTGAACAAGTTTAATGCAGTGAATTTTATTCACAATATACACATTTAGCATTTTAAACATGTTAACACGTTACGGTGAAAATTGTGTCGGGTTGAATTCAGAATAAATATATTTTGTTTCTTTAATAGGAATCAATTAATTGGTGGAGCATCAGCGATCATTCAATATGCATCCTTGATCTTTCCCTATCTCTCCGAGGCCAGAATTGGTTGTATGTGTTACACGCAATTAATGAGCCTGTAATGTTAGCATCAAGGATCACCGTTGAACTTATATGAAGAGCGAGAAGTTTTCGATTTGGGTTTTTTTTAATACGAGATATCTTGTTGTATAGTTCATAATATTATTTCAGTTCATTGAATCTTTTGATAAATTAAAAAAAAAAAAAAATAGTCCTAACTCCTAACTAATTCATATAGCATAATAAATAAAGTGATTCGATATGGTTGCCTCCATTATTATTTCTTCTTCTTATTATTATTATTTGAAATAAATAATAAGATTAATGGTTGCCTCCACCAATCATACTACGAAAAAACTTAATAATTTAGAAGGAGACCATTTCCAAATAGTCTGACTAATATTATATCATTTTATTAATTATTATCTTAGTCCTATTAATAATAAAATTTGAAATTTTAGCTAATTAAATTTCATAACACATGAAATGTTGTTAATAAAATAGCTGTCAGCTAATAGAATAACTAATAACTATTAAAATGATTAAATTTACCGAATAGGTATGATATAAAGACAATTTAGACGCGATGAATGTAACCCCAAAGGACAAGACACAAAGCATTTCACACCTCTAATCATACATGATAATTTAGATTTTATAGGTCATCACTAATTTTTTTTTTTTTCACTTAGTTCTCTCTCTAGTAGCAATGAATTCTACCATTAAAGAAAAATGAAAAAAAAAAAAATGAAAGAGAAGAAAAGGAGGGAGAAAGCAAGCATGGCTGTAATTTTTAGCCATCTACTTTTCTTCACAACCCCACCATTAAAATAGCTTTTGATAGAGAGTCATGGACCATATCAAGTTCTCATTTATTTCCCTTGCTAATTTCTAATCAGATGTCCTTTTTGCTCAACCGTTTCATTAAAATAGAAGTTTCGAGTTTTTCCACCTAAGCCTCTCGTTATTAATAGTTGTATCTATTAATCAACGAGATCGATTTAAATGGAAATAACTCAAATTTAATAAAGAAAATCTCCACTGAAAGTGCTTTTTTTTTTTTTATAGATTTGACGCAACGCGAATAAAATTATTAACCAAATGAGTTAGAAGCACGTTTAGCGTAAACCGAAAAATAATTGTAACTATTAATCATTATTATTACTATTATTAAACAAAATTTATATATAATTAGCATATATAGCCAAACCTATACTTCCATTAATAAATTCATCACAGTTAAACTATACTATATTCTTAAAGTAATTAATAGGGCAATGTGCTCTTCATTTATTAAAATTTATTTAATTGACATATCTTAAAGCAAAATTTCCAAAATCAATATCAATAATGTGCATGTTTTTATTTTCTCTCTATATATGTTTATGTGCCTTAAATAGCACCAAAGGGTCAAAACGCACACAGACCTATAGCTAGCTATATAGATATATAATATTCCATTCTCTTTATCTTCTTCAGCTTCATTTCCGGATCTTGAGTCTTTGGATTTGGAAACTATTTTCATATCCAAGAAAATTAAAGAAGAAGAAAAGAAAAACTCCAAGATGATAAGTGCAAGGCATGAAGTAGCTTCTCAAAAATCTTTACAAATCAAGCAAGATGACAAGTTCTTTACAAGAATTATGTCCAAAGAAATCTCCATTGCCAATTCTTCTAGTAGGGTTTACTACAGAGATGTCTCAAGTGCAATTCCATTTGATTGGGAATCAAGACCAGGTACTCCGAAGCATACATTTTCTGATACCTCTATTCCTCCATTAACACCTCCTCCTTCTTATTATTCAACTTCAAAATCAAAATCCATGCACAAAAGAATTAAACCTAATTTTTTGAGGAATATTTTCCCTAAAAGACTAGTTACCAACCAAAATAATAATAAAAAGACTACTGCTACTCATGTCTCTCCTTCATCTTCAATGTCTTCTAGTACGACATCATCCTCTTTGTCATCGTGGTCGTCGTTTTATTCCTCCCCATCAATTAATAAGAGCTCGAAATCGCTAAATCGATCATTTTTTTCGTGCTCAAGATCTCCCATCCATTTTACGGTTGATGCTGCTGATGACGATGATGGTAATAACAGCGATAACAATACCGTTAAGAGGAATCGCTTTGGTTCGCCTAGCTCCACGTTAATGTGTTATGGTGGTAAAAGTATTAAGGGTTTGAATGTTTTTGGAGGTTCCTATTTGAAGAATGCATTCTTGTCCATTGTAACACATGGATCAAACTAAGATATATTATATATATTATAAGGTGTTGTTCGGATGAAAGATCTTTCATTTGTTTTCTTCTTTTTTTCTCTTCTTTTCCCCCTTCATCTTGTTATTGGTAGGCAGCTGTTAATTAGATTTTTTCTTTTTTCTCCTTTCTCCATGAGTATCTCACACTCTTTTTGGATATAAGATTAATCTTGTTTCGCTGGTAGCTGTCTTTTCACGGATGGAATCTCTCCAATCTTTCAAGTTTGTTTGTAGAACTCAATTCGATATTTTCTTAGTTGTGTTAATAATTAACATTTATTCATCCAGAAGTTCATTGTTTTTAATTGTTTTTGGGCTGATGATAATTAGCTTATGTTGTCAAATCTCTGTTTACTGATTTTTTTCTTGTGTTTTTACTGAATTTATTATTAGCATCTTGAGATCAAACAAGGAAAGTTGTTATTCTTCAATTAGTTGAAAGTTGTATCTTAGAACATTAATCATGTGCAATAAATATTCATATAACTTCTAGAAATGCAAATTTTTCTCGGAAAAAGTAAAATTAATGCGAGAACAGCAGCCTATGCATATCAGTACACAAGTAGAATCTTAATAGTTCAAACATATAGTACTCTATTATTAATAACTAATTTATGAAATTAATTAAAGAAATATATTTTTTTAGGTATTGGGAAAGGATTTTACATTGGTAAAAGAAATATTAAATCACGCTTTATATGGATTGCTAAATAAGGTGAAAACAAGAATAAGAAGATGCTGTGGTGAAAACTAGAAGGGCAGAAAAGAAGAAGAAGAGGTGTTAGTTCTTATTCTTACCATAGTAATTTAAATACACAGAGGAGAATATTCTGCCAATTGCAGCAGCCACTGCCATCCTCAGTAATGTTTTCTTTTTATCTTTCAATTGGAATAATATTTGTCTCATTATATTATAAAAATCAAATGCATAAATTCATGGTACTCTCAATTTTTAAATCTTATTAACATTATACACGTCATTGTTTAATTGAAAAATTTTGTGTACAGAATTGAGGATAATAATAGAATTGGAAATTGAGAATTCTGTGATTGTGTAATGAAGAAGAGAAGAGAGGGAATTGAGGATTTTGAGAAAGAAAGAGAGTTATTACATAGTAGAGGACATTGATGAGAGCTTGGACAGTCACTGGTGAAAGCTTCTCTAGACAGTGGACATTAATTATAATCCATGTGCTAACATTAATACTGTGTGCCCTCTTCTTTGGTTTGTCTTAATTGTGTTGAGCTCTTTTTACTTGTTAGGTTGACGTTCTAGAAATAATTTGGTGATTGCCTATTGCCATCCCTAGTTCCGTTTCAAAGTATAAATTATTTTCCGGGATTTATTTTGTTTTAAAATATAAACCGTTTGAAATATTTTAAAAAGTACAAATGATGTTTGTTTTTTTTTTTTTTCTTCTTCTTCAAGGGAATAGAGAGAAATGAAATAGTGAATTATTAAAATTGAAACAAGGACATATTATTTCAATTCCCACCCAAAAAAATCTTATTCTCTCCCTATATTGATTGGTTCTAAATCAATTAGATAAAATGAAATGATTAAATTTTTTTTTTATATTAAACGAAATATGCATGAATTTGTTGTCATAAATAGATTCCTTTAACAAATAATTATGAAGCAGACAGGCTAGTCCAATTGTTTAAATGCATGGACCCAAATCTGGCTTCTAGCAATTGTATACCATTATATTATTATGGAAAAAAAAAAAAATCTGCAAGGGAATTAATGAGGAATGCTGTTCTCAGTCTCACATCATAATGTTGAATTATAATTATTTCCAACTAAAAAAAAAGAATTTTTTTTTTTTTTTTTTTTTTTTTTTTTTTTTTTTTTTTTTTTATACAAAAGGATATGCAAAGCTCTAACAAAACTCAGAAATTCGAATTATATTGAATTCTTTTTTTACAAAAGAATTCTACTTTATTCAAATTCTTTAGAATTTGCAACTCGAATAAGAAAATTATCCGTTTTGTTTGTCATTCTAGTCTTTCGCGATACTTCAAGTTTACTTTTTTCATTAGGTATCGACCCCTAAAATTTTTATTTCAAACTTAGATTTGAATTATCACAATCTTCTGTTTTCATGTATGAGTTAAAGTTAGTTATTTTGGGAGAAAAGGAATTAACTAACTCCCAAAGCTAGGACAAGAACATTAATATGAAAGTAGAATAATTATTCCTTGAAGAAAACCATATCCCATGTTCTAACTTGACTGCCCCCACAATTGGGGCACTAAGGATGAGGTCCAGGACAGGATTCCTGCAGACTGCCACAAATTCTAAAGTATTTCAACTTTCATATATAGCTTCAGAAATATATATAACTCTACCTTTTAAAAAATAAATTAAATGAAATTAATTATATACTAAGTAACAGTACTTATAGCTGAATACTATTCCCGATTCAAACATGAAAGAAAGAAAAAGAAAACTGATAGTAGTGATAGCTGGACCTTTGAAATTAATATTTAGTTCCAATGGCCTTATTAGCATAATGTTAGGCCCATGGAAACATCATTCACCTTCTCCATAGAAAATCAAACAATTTTATGTTGGTAGGCACCTCATCTCTAAGACAAAAAAATGAACCAATTTTTGAATTTGACGTATACCAGATCACTCACTGTCACACCAACTAAAAAGATTAATTCAAAAGGATCATGTATAGTAAATGATGGTTGCATTTTAAAACCTAAATTCACGCATGTATTTATACATAAAAAATGGATTTTATTTTCTGGATTTTGACCTCAGAATGTTTGTTTGGTATAAGAAAGTTGAAAAATTTTAAGTTGGGTTTTTGAACACCATGAGATTATGTTAATTAATAATAAGGTTTTAGGGTTTAATTAGGGTTTTAGAGATGTTATTATCATGTGGAGGTGAATTATGGGTTTTGGTGCAAAGAAGGGTTGAGAGAGTTAGGTTGGGAAAGAGAGAACAACGGACCGATTTGTTAGCCTCAAAATACGGGTCAAACAAGAATTGGATAGTGCCATTTCCTCACAATTTAAGCAAATCTATTACATTTAAATATTTATATTTATTTGTATTTGTATACTCTTTCATAAATTCCTTTCCTTTCCCTCTTTTTCACCACCCACTTTGATATAACACTCCTCAAAAAATCACTCCCAGGAAATAACTAGCCAGCTAACCCTCTTCATTTTTTTTTTTTTTTTTTCAAAATCCACTCTCCAGAATAACTAGCCAGCTAAACCCTCATTTTTTTTTTTTTTTTTTTAATTATCAATTTTTTTTTTTTTTTTTTATTATCACAGGTATTCGGGAGCTCATTAGGCTTCGGTATATCCGACTCGAATACTGTAGAATCCATATAAAGGATAACTCTCTATTAAGAAATGTTCATTCCAATCTACATTAGTCTCTTTCATATCTTATTTTATCATATTGTAATGTTATATCATTATTTATATTCCATCAAAATATCACAATCAAATTTTAGGATTCAAAAACTTTTTTTTGCTTTTGCTTTTTGTGCTTAAATTGTTAACACTCCTAAACTTAGGAGCAGAAGTAAATTTTAAACATTAGGGGGTGAAAAATAAATAGAAGTTGTGGTAGAAAAATTGAATTTTAAAATATTTGGAGGGACCAAAATCCAAAAGTTCGAGTATTTCTGTCCTTGCTTAAACTCACATTTAAATATTTGCGATATGGGAAAGAATTGATATTCAATTTTATTACTGAAGGAAGTTTATAATCGGTACAAATATATAGTTTTTCTATGAAAAAGAGTATATTATTTTTATTCGTAATACATTCAAAAAGAAAATTTAAATTATACCGAGACATAATCTAGTAGTAAGTATATATGAGACATAACAATAGATTCAGATTCAAATTCCATTTCCACAGCTCTAAAAAAAAAGAAAAGAAAAGAAAAGAAAATTTTAAGTAAAATTCAAAGTAAGTTTAGAATTAACATTTATAACTGTTTATGTCTTCATTAACAGTGAATGAGAAGCATATTTCAACTAGAGATAAAGTTCAAATAATAAAAAATTTGAAAATCCTTCCTCAATATTAAAGAAATAAAAAGATAAGCTCTCGGTTTCGATCTCTACTAAACGCACCTGTAGAGAGGGGCAAAGAGTCTCAACTGTGACTAAATCCCAAACCAGATTAAGTAGGCCTTGATAATAGGGTCCGGATACCGGTAATTTACACACAAAAAAAAAAAACAATAATGAAAGATACACATTTATAAACATCTTTCAGTTTATAAATAATTAACCTTGGCCGGAGACTTTTTCCGTTACAATAATTCTTATATTATAAAATCAACACTCAATTACTAAATAATAGTCTTGAAAAAAAAAAAAATTATGTCATGGGTTGTTAAGATTAATATGAAATGATGAAGAAGAATTCATATTATGAATCTGATTTTGGAAGAGCAAAAAAAATTAGCTAGGGTAGTTGAAATAACAAGTTGAATTTGCAAATTAAGAGTCTTAAATTGTAATGCTTTCCATATATGAAAATGTAGGTGGAATGTCTTCCATATAAGCACATGCATCAATCTGTCACTTACACATATATTAATAAAAGTTACTATCTAAAATATTTAAAAATAAATCAACTTATCTTGAAGGTTGTTCAATCATTTTCTATAAATTATATGCTAAACAGTATATATAGCTACCTTTTTTTTTTTTTTTTTTTTTTTTTTTTTTTTTTTTCTTTAATAACAACCCTTAATCATAATTGTAAGTTCTTTGCTAATAATATGATTAAGAGTGTTTTTGGCTAGGTTTCAGTTAGTCCCTATACCCTTTTTTTTTTTTTTTTTTTCTTTAATAAACCCTTAATCATAATTGTATGTTCTTTGCTAATAAATATGATTAAGAGTGTTTTTGGGCTAGGTTTCAGTTAGTCCTATACTAATATTAATTTAAAAAATTGTTAATTAGTTGATTAAGCACCGGCTAATAATTATATTTCGGAAAGTGGCTGCACGGTGCTGGGGCTTCAAATTGCTTCCTTCTGCACAGTACATCTTCAGATTAAGAAGTCTTAGATTGCGGTTTTTACACGAAGATGCTGATATTAATTAATTTTGATAATATTTTTTAGGAGCTAGATCCCAGATATGGTTTTTTTTTTAATGAAGGTGGGTTCTTGATATTGACAAGAAACTAACATGTCTAGCTTAGCTAGATAGCTAGCTTGCCTCCTGGCTTAAAAACAAGTACAATTTATCATGATGATGATCATCATCATCATCTTATTTTTCACTTCAAGCCTTTCAATGGTTTGTTTAAGGTGCGTTAACAGAAAACTTATAACATGTTGATAGATATTTTTATTAATGGAAATTAATTATATAAAAAACCATTATATTAAGGAAAGACAAACCTTGCAAGGAAGCAAAGATCACTTGTATATGTAGGTCATGGAAGCATTAAGCAATTCAATATTATGTATTGGCTTTCTTTGTGGATGGTTGGATCAGCAGGAGAGGAATGCATTTTTTTGAAAGATCCCAAAGTTGACGTCACTAAAGTTTTATATGAATACCATCGTGATTCAAGTATGAATTATTCAATCAGCTGATAATCATTCAATCAGTTAATAATATAATAAAATTCGAAAAGAATTAATAAAATCATTCAATCACTTAATAATCTGTTAGTTGAAATGGTAGTCTGCCTCAATTATCGTGAGGGTAAGAAAACAAGAGTTTGATATCCAGAAAGAGCACTTATTAGAAAGGATAAAAAATTTTTACTCTTTACGGGTGGAATAGAATTTACACCTTCTATTTCTAAGAAAAAAAAAAAAAATCATTCAATCAAAATACATTAGTAAAATTAATAGATTTTAGTTAGGAATTGATAGTTGAAATCAATTTAATTAAAAATATGTCTATATAAACACGTAAGCTATGAATTGATATTAAGAAAGTCAAAACACAATTAAGAAGTCACACGTGAGGAAGCAGAGATGAGAGCTGGCATTTAAACAACATAACTATTAACTAAGCTTTCCTTCTCTCTCTCTCTCTCTCTCTTTCTCTTTCCTTTCATCTCTATATCCATCTCCATTGATGCTCTACCATTATCTTTCTGCTCTGCAAGAAACTTTAATTTGCTGAAATCCTTTTACATCACCAACAATCATAATTTTAACTTCTCTTTTGGGGCTCTCTTTATATATATACTTTTTGTCTTTTCTTTCTTCTATTAATATATACATATAAGCATTGGTCCACTTTTCCCTTTTATATCTTGCCTTTGAAGCACTCCCTTCCTCTTCTTCTTATTTCTCATTTCTCCTACTCTTCAATCTCTCTCTCTCTGCAACTCCTCACCTCCATACCTAGAGAGAGCATGCCTGAATGTCCAGAGAAAGGTAATAAAAACTATGAATCTCTATAAATGAACGATAACCCTAGTTTCTAGCAAGTGTAAGCTTCTTTTTTCAATCATTTTGGAATTTGGTATATTCCTTTTTTGACTATATTGATAACAACCACTCTAGTTTATTATTTGTTTATTTTTTTTAATTTATATTTTTCAATGATACATCAAATTAAATTTTAATCTACATAATTATATATTGATGTGAGTTTCACTTTCTTTTATATTTTTATGTTCTTGTTTAGGGAGAGATTTGATGAGATAGGCAAGAAGATCAAGAGAGAAACAGATGCCTCATCTCAAATGGGAAGAAGACACATGTTGGGTCCTCCTGGAACCCTAAATACAATCACTCCTTGTGCAGCTTGTAAGCTCTTGAGAAGAAGATGTGCTCAAGAATGTCCTTTTTCTCCTTATTTCTCTCCACATGAACCCCAAAAGTTTGCTTCTGTTCACAAAGTTTTTGGTGCTAGCAATGTCTCAAAGATGTTAATGGTAAGTATTATTTCACTCATTCCTTAAACCCTAGAAAAAGAATTTCTATTGCATATATATGATCAAGGGTATCAAAGTTTAGAATAGTAATACCGCAATTTTTTTTTCAAAGATTGATCAAAATTTAAATAGTAATACTGGAAATATTACAATTGTTTTCAGGATTTTGAGTTCAAACAGTAGATTTTTTTCTATTTCTGAAATTATTGATGAGGTTTATATTTATGTACTATTTTCAGGAGGTCCCAGAAAGCCAAAGAGCTGATGCAGCAAATAGTCTTGTTTATGAAGCAAATGTGAGGCTAAGAGATCCAGTTTATGGATGCATGGGTGCAATTTCTGCATTGCAACAACAAGTTCAATCTTTACAAGCTGAACTTAATGCAATAAGGGCTGAAATACTCAAATACAAATATAGAGAAGCAAATATTATACCTTCTTCTCATCAACATATAGCTTTGCTTTCTTCTGGAGCTGTTTCTGTTGTTACACAATCTCCATCTCTAACTCCGCAGCAGCCGCCACAGCCGCCACCACCTCCTCCTCCTCCACCTCCTCTTCCTCCTACTTCCTCTTCTTCTTCTTCCATTTACACTCACCAACCAACCAGTGCTGCTGATTATACAACCATTTCAAATGAACATGTCTCTTTCTTTGGTTAATTAATTTAAAGAAAAAAAGGAAAAACGGAATTTCTTGCTTAGTTCATTTATTTTTATATTATTATGATCAATCAGGTTGAGCAATAATAATAAAAAGAGGAAGAGAATTGATGATATTTTTATTGGTTGAGGATTGTTTAATTACAACTAATTAGTTTTGAATTACTGTTTTTTAAATTCTTGATTGAAGTTAAGCCTATAAAAATATATATATATATATGTCTCTTTAGATTTTTTTTTTTTGTTGGTTGATATGTTTCTTTCTTCTCCTCTTTTTCTTCAATTTACACTTAGTTTCTTGTTTTTCACTTCTCTATTGTCATCTCCAATATTTTTCTTTCTCCATTAGAGTAAAAACCTTCATTTTTTTTTTTTTTTGTGCATTTTAGTCTGTGCCATTGTTGAAGAATCTGAATGTTGCCTGAAGTGAGGGGAGACAAAAGGTATGACTGTGATAATCCCCATATATAGAGATTAGAAACTTCTTAAGTATTTGATTGCAATACAAATTTGCAATTTCTTAACTTTAACAAATTAATTTGTAATGAATTAATAATTAATAGCTTGAATTATTAATATTTGAGATATTTTACTATTTTATGATGTACATATTAATCTTGTTAAATGTACTTCTCTTAATTGAATAGGATTTATATATATTTGTCATGAGTTATAAGGAGAGTTGCATTTTTCATTTTGCATTATGTTTATGAACTTCCTTCTTGCCATTAGTCTAATGTAGAAAATTTTGAAGTGAGAATTTCATGAACTTATAATTTCAAGAAGCTTATAAGAGGTTCATTATGAATGTTGTAATTATATTTAATTAGGCAAATTGTTGCAAACATAGAAAAGTATGGGGAAAAAAATATTAATAGTTCAATGATCGAATACTTATCTGAAGTAGACAATTAAAGATTTAAAGTTTTAATTAAAAATCTCAATCTTGTTTACGCATCTTTAATGTACTAGGAAAAAAAAGAAAAATAATATAAGAAGACGTATTTCTAAATAATTATAAACCATAACATAATTAGGAAAAAGTTAATAAAAATAGTAACTTGAGATTGAGTTATTTTCTTTTTTTTTTTTTGAGCAAATCTTTCATATTTGGTAGGAATAAAGTGATTTTAATTGGAATGTGAAATTGAACTATGAAATGATTTGATTATTCTAGAAATAAAATTCCCTTGTTGGATAAATGTATCCATATTTGGGTAGTAGATATATGTATTTGTTGGATGGTCAATGGAAATGCCAGCTAGATTATATATTTTTTCAATATTTTAGGTTTCCTTGGCGTGTGGATTTCAGCTTGAGTGGGGAAGGGGATTAATAGTGGAATCTGAATTATTTAGACAAACAACAAATTAAGTTGAATACATTCCATTCACAATTGTTTCATTTTTCTATCTTGTTTCTATCATAACCCTACTTTCTCTCAATCATATATGCTTGTCTTCGTGTGTTGATACTTGATAGGGATGGACTTTTTGGGAATGGGAGTTATTACACACAATTATGTAAATTAGAAAAAAAAAAATATTTCTCATTCATTTAGTTATAATTATGTTCGGCAAAATTAATAGCTGTAGATTGTCCTAATAGCTGTTAACTGTTTAACTAACATTTCATCAAATGTCAAAGAAAATAACGTTTTATAATATACTCTTTCAAACTCTTAATGCTTCTAATGACATCTCAAAAGCTGCAATATCTAAAATAAAATTTATAAAAATTGAATATTGTGTATATATAATGACTCGCTGTAAATAAATCATTTTTATAAATATGAAGAGTGAAAAGTTTCGAGTTCAAATCTTCTCGATCACGGTTGTTTTCATCAATTTGGTGAGTCAATTAGAAGACAATGAATTTGAAAAAAAAAAAACAGTGTAAATGACAATTATTTGAAACTTTGAAATACATATATTAAATAAAATTGAATGGTTGGTTTACCAAAATTCAAACTTAATTTATAAAAATCCACAGAACACTCTTGTGATATTCATATATAGATGTGTCCATATCAAGATTGTATCCTCTAGAATCCCTGAGGATGTGACAGAATCTGGTCTCATGTCATGGTTGCTTCAAATAGTGGCATCCTACGTACCTTGTCTTCGTGCAACTCCCTCTTTTTAACACTGTAACATAACAAAATAAATTAGTTATAGTTAGATATAGATTTAAATATTTTTATAATATTTAGTTATATTACTAATTAAATATTCTAAATCTAATGTTGGTGAGATTAGGGATGGATAAACCAATTTAAGATGCAATTATCAGTAACATTTAAAACTCGATATTTTTCATTTTATATATTGTTTTATTAATTTTATTTGATTTACAATTCAGATTTTATATGCTTGGCACAACTTCTTTTTTTTTTTTTTCTTCTCCTTTTTGATTCAGAAAATATTAATTTACAGAAAATTATATTAATGCTTATTTGTTACTCAATTAATAGTTTAAATATTTAGCTTATATTACTAATTTAAATATTCTAAATCTAAATGTTGTGAGATTTAGGGGCATGTGATTAAACCAATTTAAGATGCAATTACATTCCAAGTAACATTTAAAACTCGATATTTTCATTTATATATTGTTTATTAATTTATTTGATTTCAATTCAGATTATATATTGCTGGACAACTTCTTTTTTTTTTTTTTCTTTCCTTTTTTGATTTTCAAGAGAAAATATTTAATTTAACAGGAGAAAATTTATTAAATGCTTATTTGTTACTCACATTGCCCAACTGTCTATGAGAATGTGTGTTAATTAAAAATAGTGTATCAAATTCGACCTTTGGAGCTTAAAATAAAATAAAATTTAATTAAAGGGAATGATGAGTGATGCGGCCATCGGGGAATTCCGTGAAATGTAATATAATATATTTTTGATTTACTATTCATCCAAATTCCAAAGCAAGGATGAGTACACTAAACTCACCATGAAAATGAGTACCCATTCAAAGGCCAAGTTGGTGCAATTTTCCCTATCCATGGACTCTTAAAAAAAAAAAAACAGTGTAAATGACAATTATTTGAAACTTTGAAATACATATATTAAATAAAATTGAATGGTTGGTTTACCAAAATTCAAACTTAATTTATAAAAATCCACAGAACACTCTTGTGATATTCATATATAGATGTGTCCATATCAAGATTGTATCCTCTAGAATCCCTGAGGATGTGACAGAATCTGGTCTCATGTCATGGTTGCTTCAAATAGTGGCATCCTACGTACCTTGTCTTCGTGCAACTCCCTCTTTTTAACACTGTAACATAACAAAATAAATTAGTTATAGTTAGATATAGATTTAAATATTTTTATAATATTTAGTTATATTACTAATTAAATATTCTAAATCTAATGTTGGTGAGATTAGGGATGGATAAACCAATTTAAGATGCAATTATCAGTAACATTTAAAACTCGATATTTTTCATTTTATATATTGTTTTATTAATTTTATTTGATTTACAATTCAGATTTTATATGCTTGGCACAACTTCTTTTTTTTTTTTTTCTTCTCCTTTTTGATTCAGAAAATATTAATTTACAGAAAATTATATTAATGCTTATTTGTTACTCAATTGCCCATACTGTTATGAGAAGTGTGTAATTAAAAATAAAAGTATCAATCGACCTTTGGAGCTAAAATAAAATAAAATTTAATTAAGGGAATGATGAGTGATGGCCATCGGGAATTCGTGATTATAATATATATTTTTGATTTACTATTCATCCAAATTCCAAAGCAAGATGGTTACACTACTCACCATGAAATGTACCCATCAAAGGCCAAGTTGGTGCAATTTCCCTATCTCATGGCTCCTTCTTCTCTGTACTTTTACAAATCAATTGGTTAATTAATCATCCGGTGTATGATGTTTACTGGTCTGATTAATCTAAATTCGTATCAAAAAGGTATATTAAAGAGAGTAAAACGCTTCATTCTGAATGTTTAAAGACACACTATATCTAAGATTCGAACTCGAGATCTCTGAACTGTATTTATAATGGTTTTTTTACACAGAGAATGCTCGTTTGATTTTGACTAATGTCTATATTATTTCCTCTCACAAGCACATGCATGCTTATCACTCTCAAATCTCGATATGAAAAGAGAAAATTAAACTAGTACGTGATGATATATATATAATGCTTAGACCACAGAGCTAGTTGTAAATAATATGTAAAAAATACATTACAGGGAGGACATGCAAAGAATATTTATGTAAGATTTTTGTTTGACTGTTATGGGCATTTTATGTGGAGTTGACAAAGTTTTCTTAGATTGAGAATTTAAGGTATCAGCAATCTTAGATTATCATTAGTTACATGTGTGATTAAGAATTATTAATTAAATTCTTCTTAGAAAGCATATTTATATGATGAGATTCCAAAATGATTCAATTTAAATCAGAGTTTTGTTACATTATAATAGTTCAATTATTGAAAAAAAAATTATTTCCAAGATAATTAATAATAATATATCTTAAATAAATCATCTTGACATTGCTTAAATGGCTAGTGGGTATGGATTTAAATTTGAAAAGAATCCAATCATGTGGTATGGTCACAATGTTCATCATAGGTTAATCATATTAATTGCTGCAGCTTATAAATAATTAGAAAAATACCTCAAAGTTTGAAATATTTCATTAATTATATAATATCCTGGGAAATGAAACAGTCAATCAGCCTGCTGATGCTTAATTTGATCATCATCTACATTTTTTTTTTCTTTTTAGTCAAATTTCAAATTCTCAGTATCAACGTGGCCTTCAAAAAAATATATATTAATACATTTCCTATCACAATCAAGATTATTCATTATCGTCATTTCTCATCATCACTTTTGCTTCCTTCCATATATATCCAGCTATGTATTTTGTTCTAACTAAACTATTAATTATATTACTAATTAATTTTATTAGTGCATACTAATTTATTTTACCAAGTATTAGGAATCTTACAACACAAAATTCACTTATATCTCAACTCAGTATATAGACTTACCTATCCACAAAACAAAAGATTCGTGGGTGAACCATAGACTGAGTTTAGTCGAGTTGGATCCTTATTAAATAGAGTATTTGCTACTAAATTTTTATAAATTTCGATTTTTTCCATCCCATTATTGACTTGGGCATAGAGTCGGAAAGAATAAATAAATACCGACCAATCAACCTGATAAAATAAATGAAACAATTTACATTTTTTTGGAGGCAAGCACATATATAGTAATTATATTAATCCATATACAAAGTATTATGATTTGTCATCTTTAATTTTTCTAAACAAAATTGAATTAAAGTTTTTGCAAGCATATACTCTAAAATCAAAACATATGTTCAAAGTAGACCTTAATTACATTGGGCTTTCTATAGTACTAATCATTTGTGGTTTGTGGTTATTCAAGTCTAATACCTCAAAGCCCAGTAGCCCAGCCCAATGGCTGTATGTCTATTTTCAATAAATAAAAAATTGAAAGTCCAAAATTGATAACAGAGTAAAATTCAAGATACAATTTATTTTTTATTTTCTTTTTTTCAAGCAATAAAAAAGGTACACTTAATACTAAAACAAACTTTTCTATTATTAGCAAAATTTAAACAGTACATATAAAAATCCACTAACACCTTTGGGACTTCTTAATGAAAAATCACAAAATAAAACCTCATTAATACAAGTAATTAAAATTTTGCACACAGTTTAATTTATTTTATTAAATCTTAATCCAATTAATTAATTCATCCTCCTACAATTCTTTCTGATCTCTCCTTGCGATCCAGTAAGTGGGCTAATGTCTCCCATCTTGATCATGCCAGCAACAAAATCAGAGAAGAAGGTGCTTTGGCCATTACTGTAGGTGCGAACTATTGAATCAGTAGAGCCACCATTAAACAATTGTTGATCAGAGTGAAGGAGACCCTTTTGATTAAGCAAATTCTTGAAGTAGTTGTTGTCAAAAGAAGTAGGAGTCTGCAAATCAAGCGGTGCTAAATTGTTGTCACCTGTTCCATTAGTTCTTGGGCAGTTTGACCTCCTTGTTTGAGCAAAAGAATTGTCTATGTTGGTCTCATTGTATATACGTGCCCTAAAAGACGTGCACCTTGCTTGCCCAATTGTGTGAGATCCTATCATAATATGGAAAAAAAAAAAATTCAAATTAGACATTTTTCTTTTTGTTTTTAATTCTTTTAAAGCGATGGAAACCTGCGTACATCAACTCTCCCAGAACTCGCAAATTTTTTTAAAACTAGGAAAATCTGTGTAAATTAATGTTCCCGGAAGTACATGCGATAACGTTTTAAAAAAAAATTACCAGTTAAAGCAACCAAGTCTCTGGTAGAAAGGCCAAGAGCATTGAATCTTGAAATGAGTTGGTTCAAGTTAGAAGTTGGTGGCGGAATGCCATTATTGGCAGCTGAAAGACTTGCAGTTCTAGCATCTCTTCTTCCAAGCTTAACATTCCAAGTTGGACCTCCAAGCTATTATATAGTAATTAACATAATAAATTAAAACCTTTAATGATTTATACGGTATTTTCATTTTTAAAAACGAAAAAAGAACTTACAATAACAGTAGAGTCTCTAGCAGCAACAGCTAAGATATCAGCACATGAGACCACACCAGGGCAAGCTTTTTCAACTGCAGATTTAATGCTGTCTATTACTTCAAATCCTCTGGCCGAATTCCGGTTAGGGAGTGCTGTTTTTTCTCCGGTGAAGGAAGATGTGTCATCAAGTAGAACTGAACCATCACATCCCTGTCACGAAATTAATTTAGATCAACTTATCATTACATAAGTTAGTCAGGTTGGTTCCATTATAGTCGAGCCAAGGTTGAAGAAAAACAGAGGCAAAATTTTTTTTTTCCAAAAGTTCTGAGGGGCTAAATTTTAAAAAAAATACACTATTTTAAGGGATATAATTGAAAGTTTTTAAACGTTTAAAGATCAGTTTTTTGAAAAAAAAATCTCAATTCAAATATTTCAGTTACGAAAATATTATCATTTCGAATTACTAAAATAGAAATATAATAACTATAAATGTGAAGAAGAAAATTACATTAACGAAACAGTCGTGGAAGAACAAGCGAACAAGAGAGGCGCCCATTCGCTTCTCTTTATTAATGGCAGATTGAACGACAGGTTTAATGGTGGAAAAGAGATTAGGGCAAGATTTAGAGTAGAAACTTGTAGAAAGTTGAGCATTGGTAGTGCTGATCCCTGTGGAAGCCGCAAGGAAGATAAGACACAAAGTCATAATAGGCTTGAAAGATGAAGAAAAAGCCATAATTTTGATATAATAGGAATGCTACTTAGATAGCACTGTTTTTGTTTGTGATGTTGAAATGAAATGCATGGCAATGAGATTTATATAGGCAACTCATCCTCAAGGTTCTTATGGCCGGCACAGGACAGGTAACCTAACACTTTAGACTCTTATTTGTATGCATGGCATTTTTTATGTTGAAAATATAATCACTACTGATTAACAAGCTATTGATTGTGATTGATTAGTGAATTATTATCTATTAGTTTAGACATTACATTTTTTAATTATTCGGTTCTTAATACTTTCTCAGACTGATTATACTGAAACTGTTCCCTCCAATTAATAGCAGATCAATAGCGAATTCAAGATTTGAAGTTAAGGGGCGGAAAATTATTAAACATACGTGAAATTGATAAATTTTTTTAGAAATTTTGATCTAAGATATGGTGGCCACTATTTGCCACCGCTTGATTCTGTTATTGCTTTAAATTCAATTAGATTAAATTAATTAAAAGAAGAATGCAAAGCATATACGTCTAATCAGGAGTCTGAAAATTAATCAGAACTCTGTCCAATTAAAAAAATAAACAAACGTATCGTCCAAGATAATTAGAATTGAAAGTGCTAATTAATGAAAATCTGGGGAAGGTTAAGAACTTTGAAGTAAGAACACGACTTTTGAATGGTATGCTACAAAGACTTGCGATGTTTAGAGTGGCAATTTGTCAAACATTCTAGCTAGCTATCTAGGCATTTTCTGGAAAAATTTGACAAAAACACTGAGGTCCACAGAGAACCCTTAAGCTCTACGATTTGATTATGACTTGGAAGCAAAAGATATAATGAGATAAACAAAGTTTAACTTGACTTGTTCAATTCATTTTTTTTTTTCAATTTTGTCTTTTTCGGTTAGTGAAATTCGGTGAAGCTACTAATATTATCTTCGACGCGGTTTTATTACTACTTTGTCATTTCTGTTCCCTGACTTTAGAGCACTAAGAAGAGAAGCTTCTACAATTAGGATATGTAGCGTTATTTTATATATGTACATAGCAACCCCACTTTACCATTTTAGGGTTTCACACAACTTTTTTAGGAACAAATAGCATCAAACATTAGTACTTAGTTTCTACTTTCTTGGCAAGAATCATTTTCTTTTTGCTCATATTTATACATCAACATCATCTTTTGCTTCTATTTGTCCTTGTTTTTATAGATTGTACAATTGAATACTATTTGGAATTGGAAGATCCAATGTGAAGTAAAGCTTAGCAATGTTGGTCAACCCGACCAATTTCACGAGAAATTTGAATATCTTTAGCGCATAATATTAACAATAGATTGAATCAATATGAATGAATTGCATTTCATGACAAACTTTATGGGTAAAGTCAATCTGAAAGTACCATTGTTATGTACTAAATTAAGATTTTCTTTATAAGTTGAAACCTAAATTTTTAACTATAGTCGAAATTTAGCGAGCTAAAAGAAGTAAAGTGATTGTATAGTAAATAAATATATATACAAAATAATGGGTAGAGAGGTCAAAGATGGAGGAGGACCAAGTGCAAGTTTCTTCGTAGTTAGTTGGGGATTCTCCAAGCTTGTCATATAATATAGGATTGGTTGCCATCATGTTTTTCAAAAAGGTTAATTATCTTTAATTTCAATATGAAACATGTGAATGGAATCAATTTATATCTTAACTCGATATTATATAGTCCACGGAAATATCAAAAGAATGCATTAATCATTGGTTAATTTGGATATAATCAAACTTTGTCTTAATCATGGTAACCACATTTTTCCTTTCAAATGGGAGATTTCAAATATTCCCTTACCAAACTTAGATACGATCGGTTACACTTTCTTTTTGGTCATTTTACCACTCTAATCTTCTGATAATTCAATTATTAACATTTTGTAGTTGTGTGGATTAATAGTATATGAAATCCCTAAATTTTTTTATGAAATCGATGGAATGTTAAATTGAATTGTGAAATTTATGAAATTTTATGTTCCATCATTGGATCGGAAAAATATCTAAAAATCGAACGGGTATGTTTTTTAATATATATAGTTAAATAATACAAATTATGTGTGCTTAAATCATATATATTTTTCAAGCAATTTTAAGAATATATTTATCCGTAGCGATCTTAATTAATTATGTTTAGTCACGAATATTATTTGAAATTCTTATTACTTATAAAAGTTAAAAATTAATTAAATTATTGTATTTTCATATATTTTTAAATATTGTATTTATATATATTATCTATTCCCACAAAAATAGACTTGTAACATTTTCATACATATTAAAAAATTAGATGATATAGCTTCAACAATTAATTTTGCTTATACTTTTCTTATACCTCTATATTAAATATTATATTTCACTTTCAATAATTAATTAAAAAAATTATTGATGCAAACCAAGACATAGTTTAATAATAAGTGCATATACGATCTGACAATAAATCGAAATTTAAATCCCCATCTCCAATATTCAAAAATATATGTATTTTTAATAAGATATATTAAAATAAAGTATATTGCAAACTTAAGAAAGTTATTTGTATATTTCATGTAAAAAGAAAAAATATATTAGTTGTATTTAAAAAAAAAAGATAGTAAATTTATCTTTATAGAATGAATGGAGTATCGTAGTGGTCAATTGAATAAGTTGCAATTTCCTCTTCTTTTTTTCCGTTATGTAACCACCAATATCTGAAAGTTCACTGAGCTCCTGACTACGTCCGACTCAACTATATAGGGACGATTCTCCCAACATAACAATTTTCATATCCAACACTTAAACTCGAGACATTTAATTAAGGGAGAATTAAATTAAGAATACTAAATATGTTTGACATATAACGGTGAATGATTTGAATGTCATCATACATACAAAAATAATAATAAAAGAAAAATATTTCATCTCCAACTGGACCAAGTCAAATAAACTTATTACTACTACAACCTTCATGAATTTCTATAATCTTATAAGTATTACGAAACAAATATTCAAATTATTAAAATTAGTCTTGAATAACCTATTGTTTGACTCATAGAGATTATATAATTATTATAAATATTTAGAAATAGCTATTATTCCAAAGAGAAGAATTCTGAATTCATATATCATTATAAACAAATATAATATCATTCCTAAAAAAAAAAAAACAAATATAATATCATTATTGTCGGGATAACATTCTGAATTTAATATATTGTTTGAGATAGTTAACACCTTATATAATAGAATATTTTTTTTTGATGGGATCGTAAATATATTTAAGATGGATATTCAAAATTAGTATGACTTTTTAGAAGAAATGATGGAAATAATTAATTAAATTAGGGAGAGTGTCAAACTAAAATAAAGTCTAAGATATAAATTAAAACATATATATATTATTAATTGGGTTGGTAAACTACTATACATTTTTTTGAATTAGAGAATGTGTGGTGACCATTTCAATTCGCACATACATGTACAATTAATTAATGCATGGGGAAGAACTCATCAACCTAACTTCATTAAAGATTGCATGCAAAACTTGACTTTGTATTGTCTTTGCCTAACCCTTTCAACATCTTTTAATTAAATTTTTAATAATATATATTTAGCAAAACAATTAATTTTTAAATTTTTCTTGTCATTTGAAGGAGTCAAACTTGAGTAGAAACCAATGAAATTTCCTTTTTTTTTTTTTAATTTTTCTTTTTGACAAAATTGTTAAATGAAAATAATTAAATCAATAAAATAAATTATCTCACTTACCATTTCCTTCCAAAATGGAGATAAATGGAAGTAAATACAACATCATGCAAGTGGATATCTTGTGATTAAAAGGAGTAAAAAATTATCCGTCTTATTAATTTTTTTTTCTTTAATTTTTTATGTGAAAAATATATTACTATTTGATATTATTTCCTTTTCTCATTATTTGTAATTATACTATTCATATATTATATTTAAATATCATATATGTCCGGTAACAAATCCTACTCGAAACTCCCATTCTTATGGGCTCTTGGGCTTCTTGTCCTCAAACTTCTAAATCAGAAAGTAATCGCGGTGGATTGGGCCTTAGCCCATTAACCATTGTACAAGTAAGGTTAACATTTAGGCTTTGACGCAAGCCACATGACCTTCAAATTAATGAGTTAACAAGAAATAAAATGTTTTTGAAAATTAAAAAAAGATAATAATAAGAGATGCATCAAGCAATTAGGGAACTTGAAAATTTATTTATAGAAAACCCTAATGACAAGTGGAACTTAATTAATTATGTCCCCAACCTAACTAACTAAAACCAACAAAACAAGAAACTAGTTAACACTCATATATTACAGGAAGTATCAATTATATTTTTTAATCTCTTAATTAAGTAAATTAATTATACTTGTAACCCTAGAGGAGACGTGTCCAAAGTCTTATCTTCCACTGTAACACAACCCTCGTTCACTTTTATAATTTCCTTCTTATAAATAAACCTACTTGATGCCCACCAATAGGCTCCTAAATTAAGAGTAGAAATAACCAATAGGAACCCATAATAATAATCCAAGTGGCAATCATTCAAATTGTTGCCAATCCAACTCTTTCGTCCTCCTCTTCCTGTGATTTTATCCACCATTGTTACTAAAAAGCTGTTCAAGAAATTCCCCACTCCAATTCCACTAGTGAAGAAGGTTGTTCCAAGGCTTTGCATGTCCTCAGGAGATTGATCGTAGAAAAATTCAAGCAATCCAATGGCATTAAACACATCAGCCACACCTAGTAGAACATACTGAGGTAATAACCAAAAAATGCTCATTGGGACAATTTCTTTAGGACCCATAATTTTGTTTAGCTTTATCACATGCATTCTTCTAACTTCAACTGCATAAGCAATTGCAATAGCGGTAACTTGAATAACAAAACCAATTCCAAGCCTTTGAAGCAATGTGATTCCTCTAGGGTTTCCTGTTTTTTTACGCATAAAAGGAACGAAGCAACGATCATACATTGGAACGGAGATAAGCATAGAGAGTGTTACAAAACTCCCTAATGAAGCAGCTGGAATATGGATGTTAGGGCCAAGCCTACGATCCAATGTAGTGCCTTGTTTAACAAAAAGAGTGTTGATTTGTGCCCATATAGTGCTGGGAATTAAGGTCACTAGCCATATTAGTATCATCCCAAGGACAAGCTTAGTTGCTTCTACTTGAGTCACTGTGCATCGTTGATTTGATGCAATGTTTGTGTTGCTTTCTTTTATTGCAGCTTTGTCTAACCACCTGAAAAAGCACAGAAAGTTGCTTTTTACATACATTTCACAACATTATTTTTGGCGTACTGTTTAATTATGCACTTTTAATCAATTTTTTAAACACAGTATCTCTACAGCATCTTAAATAACGAACCTAATTGACCCTTTGTGTAATGCTATGCAGTGGAGGATTCCACCATTGTTAGTTCAACAAGAAAATTTGAAATGGAGGAATGGTGGGTCAAGAAGGCGCACTATTGCACTGTGTAATTTCCTATTACCCAGAGACAGCTAGGCAGAGATGGGTGGCAATGCCAAAAGATGATCAAAAACAGTATACTGAGTCTAAAATAAATTAGCCCCACTTTCGCTTTTTGGTATAGTAGATTTCTTAGCAAGGCACATGATGAATTAGGAGGTCGCCTTTCCACCTGCAACTTCATATTTTGATACTTGGAATCCATTTGAGGTCTAATATTCACTATGTCTTTAGATTCCATACCACAATTATTGTAGGAATGGTCAAAAGGGTACAATTATTTTTTATAGTACTCTTTTCTTTTCTAGCGGGAAACCCAAGAAAATGATTTAAGTTTGTGCTCAAAAGCAGACTTCAACCAAAATGAATGATAAGAGAGCTCACCTGAAAACTGGGGTGTGAACGACTTGGCGTTTTCCACTCTCAATATAATATTGCAGATCAAACTCATGAAGATTTGAGGGATCATTAGGGAGCTGAAGCTTTCTGTTTCTAAAAGCAACAATAGGGACTTGAACTAGATCCCTTGCAGGGCTTTTAGTCTTCCTAACTTTGTGCCTGTACAGTGGAGTACCTAAATAGAATATAAATAGAGACAAAAGAAGACCAACTGTAGGGATACCATACCCTAAACCCCAACCCATGTTCTCTTGAATATAAACAAGGCAAAGAGTGGCAAATAAAGCTCCTAAGAAGGAGCTAAACATCCACCAGTTAAAGAATGAGACTTTGAGCTTTTTCTCATTTGGGTTAAAATCATCAAATTGGTCTGCACCAAAAGTTGATATATTTGGCTTTGTACCTCCTGCTCCTATTGCTATAATATAGAGAGCTGAGTAAAAGAATGCAATTTGTGAAGATGAAGCTTTGTTGCATACTCCATTTATGCATGTTGGTCTCATGAACTTTAGTGAAACTGCAATTGTCAGTAGTATCATTCCCTGTAAAGAGATCATAAATTTTTCATGTACTGTTGAGGTTCATGCAACCAGAGTATGATTAAAACAAAAACAAGTTAATTAAAGAAAATTAAAAGTTGAGTCACCAGAAGCATGAAATAAACATTTAAAACACTCACAGTAAGCTATTTCATGAATAAAACATTTCTCATTAATATCAATTACATGATAATTACAACTTATAAATACATTAAATTCAATAAAATTTTCATGTGGGAAAGAAAAATTATCGACATGCAAACCATCTACTGCTGATGTTCATGCACCCAGATTATGATTTGAAAAAGAAAAGGAAATTAATGATAATTAAAATTGAGTCACTAGAAGCATGAAATAAACATTAAGCGTTTTCATGAATAAAACAGTACACATATATACCATTGGTGGTTGGTCTTGAAGAGTACAAAAAAAAAATAAAATGTCATTTCAATCAGTTGCATTTCGTTTTCCACGAATTGAATTGTTACAAATATAAAAGCATAAGTTCCCTATTCAACAGTGCAAAATATAAGACATGAAAGGTACTGCTCTTTCGTGGGCCTAATGATGTGAATCTTATGCTTGTGGAAAACAAAATTTGCAGCTCATAATATATATATATATAAATAACAGGGAAAAGAAAAATTATTCGAACATTGCGCAAAACCACTCTTACTTTGACTGATGTTCACTTGCAAAAAAAACACTCCAGAATTTAATGATTGAAAATAAAGAAAAGGCCTAACACAACTTAACAATTGATTAGTATTAAAATTGCCCATGTCATCCACGTAGGCAAGCTACATGCAAATAACATATAAGCGTTTTCCATGAATAAATAACTGAGTACCACATATTATACCATTTTGGGTGGTTTGCGGTCTTGAAGAGTACAAAAAAAAAATAAAATGTCATTTCAATCAGTTGCAATTTTCGTTTCCCACGAATTGAATTGTTACAAATATAAAGCATAAGTTCCCTATTTCAACAGCTGCAAAATATAAGACATGAAAGGTACTTGCTCTTTCGTGCGGGCCTAATGATGTGGAATCTTATGGCTTGTGAAAACAAAAATTTGCAGTCATAATATAGTATACGTATATAAATTATATATACTATAATATATATATACATTTGTGAATAGGTATTGGTACTGATTTGGTATTCTTACTGATTTGAAAGAATTATGAGAGTTTCGAGGTCTAATATATATACATTTTGTGAATTAGGTATGGTCTGATTGGTATTCTTACTGATGAAAGAATTATGAGGTTTCGAGTCTAAATCCTCTCTCGATCACAAGTGTTTCACCAATTTAGTATGTTCAGGAAATGACTATTTCTATTATGTAACCTGCAATATTCTTTCGATCCATGAGACTCCCGATGAATAAAAAATATTGATAGTGGCATATAAATCAAACCAACAAATTTCAATATTGGGTCCCACACAAGCAAATTTAACAAATCCAATTGGCCACTAGAAGCAGGTATAATGCAATTATATAATATATATGGTCCAAACAAGTGGTGTAATTGTAATTATCTGTCTCTAATGAAAAAAAAGAGATTTTGAACAAGATCCTCTCATGACATGAAGACAGATTCATCCAATGAGGTTCTAGATTAGACTTTGTGCAAGACAAAAATGACTTAAAATAAACAAATCCAAGCTTAATTTGTTGGAGAGACAAGGTAAAAAATTAATTACCATGACATAGAAAATAGAGGAGACAGTGAAAGTCCAGTATCTACCCATGTAAGTATCTGCTATATAAGCACCAAGAATTGGTGTTATCCAAACTGATCCTGACCAATTGTTCACATTTCTGACTGATGAAACTGTGTCTTCATGAAGTTGGGTTGTCAAGTAATTCACTAAATTTGAAGCTATTCCATAGAAAGCCATTCTTTCAAATGCTTCATAACCTGCCATCAAATTGTTTTTTATGTAAATAATATATATAATTAAGCAACTAATTTAACTACCTGTTGAAGTTCTTGATTACATAAAATACAATTCTTTCTAAAGAAAAACAAAGCAAGAATATATTTACACTTGCAGTTTTATATAGCAGCAAAATGGAAATTAAAAGTGAAGATTTGATTCGCTCTTTTCAATAGTAATCTTATCAGTATATATTCTATGAAATAATTAATTAATGATCTTTGTAATTACCTTTCAGTGATCTTCTAGATTGTGACCATTATTCAAAGATTCTCTTATTTAACCACTAATCTTGCTAATTAAACCAATAATGAGCTACATAGAACTTCAATCATCAGCATACTTACTAAGCAACTTTCATTAACCACCCAACATAGGAAATGAAATGAAGAAAGAAAATTTGAAGTGCAAATTTTACCAACAAGAAAGGCACAAGCTCTCCATTTTCCGGTCTTGGAAGCAAGAACAGGACGGCCACGAAGATCAACAGTGCCATCCTGGGTATAACCTTTGGAATCCATTAAAGCTCAATATGGAGGTTTTTAGTGAATTATTAGCAGTAAGCAGAGAGCTATATATAAGAAGAAGGAAGGAAGGAAGGAAGGAAGAAGAAAGGAAGGAAAGACCACCACTAAGGGTAGTGGAGCTTGTGCTATAAATAGGCCAAATCCTTGCTTTGCTTGCTAGGAAAAAGGCTCGGATTTTATAGCCAATATCAAAATTTCCCTTTTTTCGCCTGTTTTATTCACCATTTTTTTTTTTATAAAGAAATTTCTATTTTTTGGCCAAGAGTCCAAGATTTTGGCTTTTGTTAAATAATACTTGAAGGCTCTATTAATTGAAAAATATTGATTTCCTGCTTCTGCCAAGAATAAAATTAACTAAAAAGAAAATTAAAAATTATTAATTTTTGGTATCTAATTCTATGTAAAGTAATGAAAATCTAATTATATTAAACTTAAGCTCGAATTGAAAATTTGAATATTTAATTAGAGGGACTAATAAATTATAAGAAAGACTAAAATAACACTATAATAATTTTTAAAATTGAAAATTAAATAAAAATCAAACTATTAAAAATCCAAATTCAACATGGATAGTTAATATCTAGATATAAAAATTAGAGCGGTTAATAAATTATAAAGAGAGCCTCGGTATCTTTATATAGATAATACAGAATAAAGTGATTGAATGAATTTTTTAGAAGAATATTTTTGACATAAATAATAAATTCCAATTATTCCTGATTCTTTCTAACCTTTCATCTTGCTAACCAAATTCTTCTTTCCACTCCTATCTTGACTAATAAATAATAATTGGATAAAGAAATTTTATCCATGTCATATATATATATATATATTGTTATGCTCTAATAAAAGGTAATATTACGAATTAATTATTAATAAATTTATACTTGCTAATTACTAGCTTATGAATTTTTATTCAAAAATATATTTTCTAAAAATTTATTTAATACTTGTATTAGTCTTCACTTACAATTATGTGAGGTCCGTCCTCTGATAATTTGAAATTAATCTTATATTTTTGTAGTGTGGTTGACATTTTTCCCATTTTGAAATTGTAAATGAAATCAATATTCTAAGCCAAAACATAACTCAACAAAGCTAAGACCTAAACCTAATTATTTGAAAAGATCATGTAAGCCTAGAAATATGTTTTTGGTGTTCGAAAACCACGCAACGCCGCATCACATGAAAGTGTCCCAAGATTAGAATGTAGGAGTCTTGGATTTGGACCCTTATATATATATATATATATACAAACACTCTTTAATTAAGAACTTGTTAAATATAAATAACAAGTTCTTAATTAGTGAGTGTTTGTGTTTATATATAAATAGAGATTGTGGGTGACAAAAATGAAAAAGGAAATCCAACGAAAGCTAGTTTAAGGGTTGAAATTGCAATCATCATGTGATGGGAATGGAAGGCCAACACATAACCCACCCACCAATCATACAATTCAAAAGTTAGTGATTTATTGATCATTTGTTTAATTATTTGTTTTATGTTTTCTTTTTAATAACACCATTAGTATCATTTTATGGGGATGGTATAACTACCCATTAACATTGTTGATCAAGTGATTAACATTTCTTTGCACTAATCATTATCATCTTTTTTAGGGTTTCTTTTTTAATGTAGGAGTAGAATAGTATTCTCTCACTTTTTTTTTTTTTTTTTTTTTATTGGGGATGTTATAACTACCCATTAAACATTGTTGATCAAGTTGATTAACATTTCATTTTGCCACTAATCATTATCATCTTTTTTAGGGTTTCTTTTTTTATTGTAGGGTAGTAATAGATTCTCTGCACTTTTTTTTTTTTTTTTTTTTTTGTTGCTCTTTTTTTTTTTTTTTTTTTGTTGCATTGAGCTATTAAAATAAAAATTACTATATTAAATGTATTTATATATATGCACATGAGCTTCAAAGAAAATGAATTCCATGTGAGTCTCCCATCTTCTTTTGATAGTTGGATTGGGATTTCATTCACATCTATCAATTTGATGAATTATCATTATTGTTTGATAGCCAAAAACCTCTGGAGTAGGGAAAGAGTAAAGAGGTTATGCCCACAATTGGGATATATCTCTAGTAGGTTGGGGACCAAATTTCATAGAGTAGAACAAGGAGAAAGATACTATGGAGAATAATGGAAAACTTGCATGATGCTTCCATGATCATCATCTAGCTCATTTGAAGATAAAAATCCATATTTTGTTAATATAAAAGCTCTTTTTGTCCAATTCACAAAATGATAATTTTCCTTTTTGTTTTTCAAACGAGTATTTCTACACGTTTTTTAATATGAGATTAATCGTATTTAAAGATTTATGATTGTTTCTTCCTATAAATGTTTTTTCACATATTGAACTCGTGTTTACGAAAACTTTCTGCTAAATTTAAGTGATATATATATATATATATATATATATTATATATATATATATGTATATATATAATTTAAGATGCAGAACCCCACATATACCATGAAGGAGGACCACTATATTTTTTTAAGATATAGAATCTACTTCCAAGCTAATTGGAAACTAGAATCTTTACCATTGGCAGCTCTTCTATTTATAACACCATTTATACTATGATGTGCTCAAATTAATCCTCTTAGGGAGATAAAATGGGCCTGAGACCTTCATGGACAGAAATGCACACAAGATTGAATGAGATCCAATGAAGGCTAAATGATAGGTCCCATAGGGAGATTTCATGCTTAATCAATTGAAAGATTTCACCTTGTTTGGTTTGCCAAATGAAATAATAAGGAAGAAAATAGTTATTATATGGAACTTATAAAATTGAAAATCTTTATTATATATAATAAACTACTGCATATTTAAAAATTGAATAAAAACTTAAATTTACTTCTATTTTATAAAATAATTATTCCTTCCAATTACACGTCATTTCATAAAACAAACGGGACCTTAATTTTTCATACAAGCTAATTAAAAATATTAATACTAGCTACGAACATTCATTTTCTGGATTCAAGATAAGTTTCATTCTCCCATATGCATCTATACGGACTCTCAAAATATTGTTTTTGCTTTACATTTTAGCTATATTGATTTATCTGAATTTAATTCTGTGATTAAAGGCCGAAAACAATTTTAGTTATTAAATTCAACGTGGCTATTAGATGGATTAGGAGAGAAGCGAATATAGAGAGTCTGTTTTTTTTTTTTTTTTTTTTTTTTTTTTTTTTTTTTTTACTAAAGCTTCTTTTACTTTTTCTCTTGTTCAATAACTATTCATATTTTTGAAAAACGGTGCTTTCTTTTCAAATGTTTAGCTAGAAGCCATTAAGCAACTTGATCTTTGTTTCGTACATGCAATGAATTGATGAAACATAAAATTAAATCATGACCACAAATCACTCTTGATAAACAATGCACCAATCATCGATTACAATTGATAGGAGCCATGAGCTTTAAATTATAAAGAGGATTAACAAATAAAAACAAAAAAAAAAAAAAAATTCTAGGGAAAGTACCATAAATTGTTACTATTTTGGTAAACCTAAAAATTAAATTGCAGGCAGTAGCCAACTTGCACCGACCTTATTGGACTGGGGTCCCTTTTTTATTCACAGAAATTCCCATTCGTTAGGTACTATGCCCTTAAATTTCATAATTCCACCGACACGAAATCAATTTAAGGTACCAAGTTTTTGCAGTCTCAAGTGGGGCAAACGTTGGTGATTATAATATTTATAATTTAGTCAACTATTTATTATTTTTTTTATGAAAAAAAATAATATTAATTTACTTCATTTATTATTCCAAAAAGTTGGTGTTTGGATTTGGTGATTTGTGAGTAGAAATTAGGAATAGGGTTTGATTTGAACATAAAATTAATGTGGAGGACTTGTGCTGTGTGACTCGTCGTTTCTGACTGAGGTAGTACAAATATAATGGACCTCCAAGAATCCAACATCTCTACTTATTTATAATAAAGTATATTCGTGTATTGACTCGAATATAGTCTTTCTTTCTTTTTAGCAAGTTGCTGAAATGAATATTCATATTTAGATACTTCACGTGGTAATTGGAATACTTTTTTTTTTCCTCTCTTTTTCTTTGGATTCTCACCAATGATGATGACAAAGTAATGTGGCCAATAAAGATTAAAGTTTTGAAATCAAGATTTGTTTCTAGCATATAATCCCAGAAAATTATATGTTTAACCCAATAATTAAAGTTTCATAAGGCATCGAGAAGGCTATATGAACGAAAGATTATCATTTTAGAGAGATTCGATTTGAATTTATTATATACCAAGGTCTAATATTAAAATAATTTGAGAGGTTTTCCTTGATTTTATCTACATCGACGAACAAATTGTAATTCAAGGAATTTCTAACACAAGTATTCAAACTCAAGTTTAATACTAATCTCTAATCCATTGTGTGTACAATAATCAAGTATAGGAGTTTTGTGGTTCCCATTGTGTGTACAATAATCAAGTATAGGAGTTTTGTGGTTCAAACCTAATATATGAGGCCAATAAATTAAAATGATAAAATGGTGGAAGAAAAGAAAATTTTATTGTTTATTTAAAAAATTTCTCTTATATGTTATTTTTAATGACGAGGGAAATGAAATGGAGAGAGTATGAATTTCCTTGGTTGTGCTCGCACGAGATAGGTATTTTGGGTTCATAAGGATAACTTAACTAAGCATGTGCCAACCCTAGATGTACCTTCAACTACTGAAAAATCTTGACATTACTATCATCCTTATCCATGACAGATAAATAAAAAATCTTCTATGTACTATATATATATTCTTCAAAAGAAAAATATAATTTAATTAATTTTGATTCGCGTATATCTTCATGCTCGAGCCAACAGTGGTATTATCATTGACATTGATCTTACAAGTTAAAATATAAATTGTCAAAGTATGTTGGCAAAGGTTGAAAATAAAACAAACATGTGGCTGCATTTGTATTCTACTAATCAACAAAGGCAGGACGAAAATAATGAAGGTCGGTGGCACATGTTTAATTTGTGCAAATTAGGAATTGGTGTCCAATTTGCATTTGAATTGCATAGCTCATTCACTCATTCACGCATTTTCTCGCCTATAAATAGAGGAGAGAATTTGCATCTAACCAGATA